CGCCCAACGGTCGCCAGCTGTTGTTTGGCTTTAGCTCTAGCTTATGCCCGAGTTTTGTTTTAGTTTTCTAGCCCATTGTCAACAGCAACAACCTCTCATATGACAACTGGCGTCAATAAGTTTTTTAATGATTCCCCGCTGATAAGCGTGCCTCAAGGGGGAATACTCGATGATGTCGGTTTGTTTTGCCCTCCCATCCGTTTTCCACAATTTTAAATTTCTGCTATCGACGAAAAGCATTTGCCAGTCAACGCCACATACATACATACCTATCCCTTAGATTAAATTGAATCAATGAATTTCAATTCGCAGAAATTCGATAGCAAACAAAAGGGAAACAAACACGTATGTAAACACATATACTCGTATGGTGTATTTATATAAAAAGAGGATTGTGCAGTTTTTTCTGTCGCGGCTGAAATTTTTGCATGAAGTCATTCCTCTCCGAATGGAAATGCATGTGTACATAGCACCTGTCCATAAATAACGGGCGGTAAACAACTGGGAATGAAATAAAAACGAAAACTAAAACAGAAAATTTCAATTTTCATTGTGCAACGTTTTCCATGTTCAATTCTATTTTATTTGCCCATAAATTCTGAATGAAAATTGCTGGTTACTGTGCGGGACAGACAGTCAAAGTGGCAGGCGCTAAGGGGTGGCTGGAAAAGTCAGCGTTTATCTCACAGATACACACCGCGCAAATACGAGAAAAAACCCTATACCTCGACCATTAGATGCGCTCAAATCAAGCGGAAAGATCTGATAAGCGAGCCAGCTAGTTAGCTAAACTTGTTTCCCATTAAGTTCCCTTACGAAATTCTATATGTTAATGCGCGATTGGCAAAACACATAACAATCTTGAAGATTCCAAAAGATTAACTACTTTTTTTACACATTGTATACTGCTTGTGTAAAGTTGAACACATATATAAGGGGTAAATTCTTAAATCATATCCGTTGAATCAAATGCACATTCAACCAAATAAAATACATTGAAAAAGAATTGAGCGAATAGAAAAACAAATGAACGGAACTCGAGATCCAATAAAATAAAAGACAAACAATGCATGGCCGGAAATGTCGAGGGCGGACAAACAAGATCGCATGATCCGAATGCACCGATCCTGATCGAGAACACATATAATGCTTTATGGGGTCGCTATCGTCCCCTTTGCGCTGCGAAAACAAAATGCCCTCGCATTCCACTAGAACGCGGCAGCTACTTGGGAAAGAGTAGCGAAAATAAATAAACAGCGACTACAATTTTGAAAGCTAAAACGACGAAAATAATTGCACAAATGAAACGGAGAGAAAAAGACGTGAAAAAAACGGAAAACAGAAAACAAAAAATTAAAACGAGCACAACATGGCGAAGCTGCCGCCGACGTGTGCGTTATTTAAATGATTTTGCCAGTTTGCCTCGCTGTGTCTCAATTTAAATGTTTTTTATAGCCTGCATTCGGCGACTGCCACTCCTAACATTTTCAAAGGGGGTCGGGAGGCCCAAAAGGCAGACTGAGAGGCACATACACCCGAAACCCGTTTGCAAAAACGAGATGGAAAACGCAAACCAAAACGAAATGAAACGAAGCGAAAAAGTTAACAAAATCAACAAACACAATTAAGGCAAAGGCAGAAATCGTTTAATTTATTCTTTATGCGTACGAAAACGAAAATACAATTTGAGCTTTGCTTTGCCTTCTTTTTCGCTCGTTTTTTTCATGTGCTTCTTTTGCATATTGCTCATACGACGCGTTGATTCAGTCAGAGTGTAAGAGCTTACACAGGAAAAAAAAAACAATAAAATAAAATATAAAAACAAAAATGTTAATCACCTTTTGAACCACAAAAAATAATACAAAAGTTTAATGTCAGATTAAAAATAATTTGAGTATCATAGGATAGTCATACATATATGTATATATAAATTTTGAAAACCTTTATACTATATTATTTTCTCATACGATATAAAATCATTCCAAACTGAACAGTTTTTGTCTGTGTTTCGCTTTAAGAAATGAAAATGGAACTGGTCACCGGGGGAACCAGAACCATTTATCTTATTGAATACTCGGAAAATTCCGGGTTTTCCCATTCCTCGGCCGTCTTAATTGTTTTCTCTTCTTTACGACCATTGTCTTGGTATCTCTGGGTTATTGTTGCTATCGCCATTTGCTCGGCCGCAGTTGCAGCGCGTGCGTGTTGGCAAGCTCGATTTGAGGGCACTGTTACAAGGCTGCTCGGCCTAGTCGTTATGTCTCTGACTGTCTGCGATCTGCCGCCCCCGTCACGCCTCCTTTTCAAGCACCAAAATTGGCCAGACAACGTCTCAGATTCACAAGCGCGTTGGCAGTTGCATTCTTTGAGTTTCAGCCACGGCGACTTGCCGACTGCTAGCTAAACTTGGCTTGGTCTAGGTGATTATTGGAGCACGACGAATGCGTGTTGAATCCAAGACTCGCTGGCTATCTTGTGTGCTTGTTCAGCGACTTCTGAGAACAAGTTTGACGAGCGACATCCAGCTGGGAGCTGAACTTTGGCTTGAATGCGCTCCAAATCGGCAAAATGCCACAAGAGAGCTGGCAACTACATTCAAGTCGTTTGGTAATGCGAATGAATACTGAGACTTTTACAAAGCAATGAAATATTGTTAGGTCATTATTTAATATAGTATGCATATATTAAAGAAAACTATATAAATAACTTAATAAACAAACACACATTATATTTTATTGCAGGTAATAAATAGGGTTGCTTTCTTGCTTGTTCTCCTTTGAGAACCTTCACTGTAGAGGCAAAAACCTTTAGCTGGTTGCCATAGGCAGACGCAAAAGTTTAATTAGCTTATCAGTGCGAATCTAGAAGAAGAACTAGCAAGGCGTGCCCCCCAATCACCCCACTCCCAGCTGGTTTCGCCCTCCTGATAGCGATTCTCATTCTCTATCACCGCCTTCGTATTGATAAACAATCAGAAGAGCCGTCGAGTTAATGTAAATAAGTAAACCTAATGCCCGATACTTAGTACCCATGACTACGTAGCCTAATTGACTTGGCCCAAAACAAATGATTGATGGCCTTCTCAAGCAGCAAGCGGCAAAAGCAACAAAATGATTATAATTGGTGCCAATAAAGCTGTAGACGACACATGTCGCATGGAAATGCGAGGGGAATCGGAATGGGATCGGAATCGGAATCGGAGGAGAAACATAAATAAACCAGAGAATCCACATACCCACTTTTAGATGGACAACTCTTTTGGGGCTTGGCCAAAGGTCGGCCAAGGTCAGGGTCGGTGATTATCGCACTTCGGCATTTATATTTAGCGATTTTTCCTTTGATCTGAGATGGAATAGTTACTGCATATACTCACTAAAGGTTTTCCCCCAGAATTAACAACTCCCCTTGATTGCGTTACTCTTTTTAGTTTTTCACAATTCCACAATTTCTAAACTTTATGCGGCTTTCACACGCAGCTCTTACTTTTGTTTTGCTCTTGATGTTTGGACATAAAACTTATTATAATTTATTAATTACCAGCAGCGTTTTGGCTTTGATAAAAGCAACACAATTTCGGTAATAGCCAGCGGACACGCAATCAACTGGGAGAGAGAAAAAGAAACGGGGAACAATTCATAAAATAAAAGATATATTTCTTTTACTGCGTTTTTCTTTGACATTATTCATGGCTTTCTCTCCCCGTCTTGTTAGCCTTTCAAATGGGTCAAGTGTGAATAGCTATATTTTTGTGGAAATTGTGGGAGTCGGCAAAAACTTCAATGGGAAAGCTTTTTACTATTTAATTAAATCTAGAAGGTTTTTCAAAAGCTTCAGAATTCACAGAACAGTAAAGAGAACTTTTAAGCAGGCTTACTATTTAAGTGTTTGAAAATAAATATAATTTCAAAGCAACTATTTTAGTAAAAAGCAAAGGGTTCTTTTTTGCCAAAGGGATTAGGAATTTACAACCCTTCAAATTCTCTTTACATTTACTTTAAGCACTTGGAATTCCATTGAAAGTAATTGGTTTGCATTTTTACTATCAGTTGTCTAGTTTGTCTGGCGAAGAGATTAGACCCGTCGGAATTACGGCAAGTTGTTACAGTAAACGTTTTACGACCGCATTCTGACGCTTATTGCAATTAATGATAGGATGTTTACGGGTGTTTTGCCCCTTGGGGGGTTTGGTTATGAGTAAGTGTTCATGCTCGAGTTTTTTTTAGTTGAAAACATCACGTAGGGACAGCAGCCGCAGGGAACATCCGAGTGTAGCAATAAGCCAACTCATCGGGGGAAACTAATTAAAAGTATTTCGTGTTCCAACAACTGTCGCGGGCAGAACAATTGACGGACGACCAGAAATGCCTTCTGTCTCATAATCAACTCTCTGGCACTCACTACACTCTCCATTTGCGGCTCACTCTAAAGCAGGCAAAAGCATTCTACTGAAAGCAATCAATCAATCAAGCCGCTCGTCCATCAATCTCGAAGCCAAAGTCAAAACAAAAACAAACCTGCTATACCCTTGCCCTCGATACCCTTCGCTAACGAAGAAAGTACGGAGAACAGTCAATAGATTAATACCTCATACCGCAAAATGGTGAAAAATAGCCTTCTTTGTGAATTCACAGATTGATATATGGCACAATAAATAAGGAAGATGTCTTCCCCAGTATAACTCTGGATGTCAATCGTAATTTTTCTTAATTTACTATTCTAGATAAGAGAGCCATTCTAACACTGACGTTTGCAATAAAATAAAATATATAAAACAAAGATAATGATTTACAATGTAACGAATACAGGATGCCATTGCAAAAAGGAAAAGTAATAAAGGAAAATGATATAGACAATGGTTTTCATAATAATTTGAACATATAAAATAAGATGATATCTCAAAAAAAAAAAGCTTCATTAGAAAACCTGACTTTATTTAAGAAAGCTACGCTTAACATTGCAACTATCCCAATTTAGTTTAAGATATTGTTTCTTATACTTACGTTGATGCGAATTGTTGTGTGTGGTGAGAAATTCAATGTTGGCAAAGGTGTGGATGTGGAGTAGATGCAGACAAATAGATGTCCAGATGGACGCAGGCTGTAGTGGTGGTTGTTGTGTTGTGGGTGGCTGTTGTTATTACAGTTGTTGTAGTTGTAAGTAGTAGACATATAGACAAGACGACGACAACGACGATGAGGACGTGGTCCGCGATGCCACCACGATGCGGTGGCAACAACAGCAGGAGCAGTTGCAGATACAATCGCAGTAGCGGATACAATTGCAGTTGCAGTTACGCCTGCAGAACGATTGGGGGACTTTGGGCTGACTGGCGACGAGGAGCTCCTCTAGAATTCAGCAAACTCCTTGGCACACTTCTCGGTGCTGGAGATCCGCAGCGCCTCCTCCTCGTAATCATCGAAATTGCTCGTATCGCCGGGACCCTTACACCGAGGAATGAACGGCGCCTCGATTTTCTTTTGGAAGATCGCAATCCAGTCGGTGGAGGCGAACCACTTCTGGTTCTTAATATCATTGACGCCCGCCTTCAGATTGCCGTAGCGCTTGGTCAGATCCACCTGCAACAGGTTGCGCAGCAGATCCTTCAGATCCGATCCAAAGTGCGATGGGAATCGCACCTTGCCGGAGACGATCTTCTCGTAGATCTGAATCGGTTGATCCGCAAAGAAGGGCGGATAGCCGGCGGCCATTTCATAGACCAGCACGCCCAGCGCCCACCAGTCGACGGCCTTGTTGTAGCCCTTGGACAGAATGATCTCCGGGGCCAGGTATTCGGGCGTGCCGCACAGCGTCCAGGTGCGACCCTTGACCCGCTTGGCGAAACCGAAGTCCGTCACCTTGAGGTAGCCCTGCGAGTCGATCAGCAGGTTCTCCGGCTTCAGATCGCGGTAGATGAGGTCCAGGTAGTGCAGGTACTCGAAGGCCAGCACAATCTGCGCCGCATAGAAGCGCGAGTGCGGCTCCGAGAAGCGTCCCACCTTGCGGAGATGCGAGAACATCTCGCCACCGGGCACATACTCCAGCACCATGTACAGATTGGAGTTGTCCTTGAAGTGATAGCGCAGCGAGACGAGGAAGGGGAACTGGATGGCCTGCAGGATGCGCTTCTCGTTCAGCGTGTGCTCCACCTGCTTCAGCTTGACGACCTTCTGCTTGTCGAGAATCTTCATGGCATAGTAGTCTTTCGTGGGCTTGTGCTGAACGATCATGACGCGACCGAAGGACCCGGTGCCCAGGGTCTTGATCCGTTCGAAGTCATCGAGGGCGGCGGTGTTGGTCGGATTGCGTCGCCACTTGTCCTCGAACTCCTCCTTGGCCTGCTCGAGGAACTCCTTCACCGTCTCGGCGGCATCCACTTTCTTGTTCGACGTGGTGGCGTTGTTGCCCATCTTGGAGATGGTCCCTGTTATTGATGACAGGCGGAACGTGGCACTGGCCGACACCTGGGCCTGATCCTCACTAGAGCTGGTTGCTCCTCCTCCTGCTCCTGATTCCGCCCCCGAACCGGGCGTGGTCGTTGAGGCGGCGGGGGGCGTGCTCCTGTGGGCGGCGGATGCTGCTGCTGCCGGCGAGGGGCCGCTGCTGCTGCTGCTAGCCTGGTCCGCTGGGACTGCCGCTGCTGCCGCTCCTGCCACTCCTCCCGCTGCCGCTCCTCCGCCCTCCTCCTCGCAACTGGACTGCGCCTGTAGCTTGCCCTCGCCGGATGCGGAACTATGATGGGACTTTTTCTTTTTGAGGAACTGCAAAATGGACTTAGCTATTTTGCCGATCTACGGGGCAACGGTGCGGATGAAATATGTTGCTCCTTCGTGGGCAAAAGAGAGCTTCTCACAGGAGCTCTCTTTTTCTCTCGCTGGTAATCCTTTTGGAGTTGTTTTCAGTGTTTTTGTTTTTAGAGCGTTTGGTTTAGACGCGTTTAAATTCTGGTTTTAGTACGATTGCGGTTTTACGTTTTATTTTTTTGTTTTATTTGGTCTTAAACTAGTTTTACACTTTAGGCTTAGACTAACATTTGGTTTAACACTTTAGGTTGCTTATGATCGCGATTTACTCTAACTTGAGAAGCTGCAAAGAGAAACGGAAGAGAAAACGGCACAGATTAGCGGGAAATGCGTTTAAAGCTTAAAATAAAAGTCCAGTTTATCAGATTTATATTCGTTTTCTTTATTTTCTCACTTCGTTTTTGTTCTTACAGCGCATTGCTGGCACTTTTTGAAGCTCAAAAGCTGTTTATAATCACTGAATAAATAAGCTAAACAAAATCACACATAAACTCGAAATTATAAAGATATGAAGTAGGGAAGAGAGGAGAGAAAGAGAGCAAAAGAGCGAGAGGGGCAACTTTCGATCGTGTCAAGTGTCAAACAGCTGATGATATATATCCAGCTCACTCGCTCTCACGCACACGCAGTTTAGCTTCTTCTTCCTTTTACCTCCCTCTCATTTTTGTCTATTTAAATTATTAAATACTTTTTTTTGGCACTGTCTTTTGCTTTGGCTTCTGTTTTTTTTCCTTTTGCCTTTACTTCTTTACATTCACTCAAGTGTGTGTGTGTAGGTGCGCGAGTGTTTCTGTATATGTATGCGCTTCTGGTTTAATTTTCGCCCTCTCTTTTTAGCGCTCTCTTCGCAGGCACTTTTCCACATTTCGCACACTTTAAATTAGTTAAATTGGCCTTTATTGCTCGGTGTGCTAAATTTTTCGCCATTCGATTTGGGCATAAAAATCCCGTGGTTTAAACAAACACAATCGCACACGCATACACACACAACGCTCGCTCACACACACATACACCAACACACCCGCACACAGATTGGATAATCGATTTTTTTACATTCATTTCCTTTTTTGAGTTTGTTTGACTTTGCTTTTCCGATTTTCGCTGCGCGAAATTACCTTTTTGCAATTAACGACTACGATGCCAGCGACTTGTAAACACTTTCAGAAATATTGCCTCGACTTTCCGATCGATTTAATGCACTGTAGCTGTGGATTTTGATGGCTTAGATTAAAAATACCCGCATAGCCGCCGAACCGAGTTCTCCCGTCCAACACGTTCGAATTTTTTTTATCGACTGAACTAGAGCTGCGAAAACATCGGTCCAGAAAACGGTAGTATCGATGCTAGAAAGTCGATGCTTTGAAAACTGTTTTTGCCCCGTAATCGATGTCTGGCCGCCGATGTTTTTTTACCGACCACCTGTCACCGTGTCTTTCCACCATGGTTCAGTGCATCGGTGTCTAAGCTATTCAGGCAGACTCAGCGAGGGCACCATCGTAAATTAGCGATGAATATCGTGATAAAATAGTATGACCTTCTAAATGTTGGATTTTTGGTTTTTCTGGGATACCCAAAAACGGTTAGACCACGCCGACGCACGTGTTTTGAAAACGTTTCAATTGTTCCTGCAATTTTGCCCTCAGTGAAGCAACGAGCCGAGAGGTTGCATTAAAAAACACTATTTTCTATTAAATAATATAACAAGAAACCTTACAATGGTAAGTAAACCTCCACTGTCCTATAAAAAACGTGAAGTAGAATGACTCTGATTTTTTCAGACTGAGGAAGTAAATCCCAAGGCATTCCCTTTGGCCGACGCCCAGCTCACGGCCAAGATCATGAACCTGCTGCAGCAGGCTCTGAACTACAATCAGTTGAGGAAGGGAGCCAACGAGGCGACCAAAACCCTGAACCGTGGATTGGCCGATATTGTGGTTTTGGCTGGTGATACCGAACCCATCGAGATCCTGCTGCACTTGCCTCTTCTTTGCGAGGACAAGAACGTTCCCTACGTCTTCGTGCGTTCCAAGCAGGCTTTGGGTCGCGCCTGTGGAGTTTCCCGGCCGATTGTGGCCTGCTCGGTGACCACCAACGAGGGCAGCCAGCTAAAGTCCCAGATCACCTCTATCCAGCAGGAGATCGAGCGCCTGCTAGTCTAGTTTTAATTTAGACTTAACTGAAGTACAAAGTGGTAATCTGAATAAATATGTGTATTTTTTAATACAAATTAATAATTTGTTTTCGTTGCTCCATGCACATGGTCGGATTGGGGTGACCGTTTTTCCCGCCGCCGGACCCTTTGATTGAGAATACCAAAAAATACTAAACTAGAGCGGCTGTTTTAGCTACAGCAGCTTTACTGGCAACAACTTAATTCAATAATTCACCAAAATCAAAATGCTCTTCAAGTTTTAACCTCTTGTGCCAGGAAAAATGCATGCATTATCAGATACACTCAACAAACAAAAAATATGAATTACCGTGATACAATTTTTTTAAAAAGCTTACTTCTGTTTTGTACTTCATACTGAACTTTACAGCACTTAAAGGAAAGACATTTTTTCAAAACTTTTGTTTATGTGTTAAAGTTTGTTTTTTAAGTTCATAACTTGTTTCCTTGTTTAAATTCTCTCAGTTGTCATTTAACTTTGCATATTAAATCATTGTAGTTAATAATAAATAGCCCCGCACTACAGCCAGCTGATAGCAAAATTTGGCGTAAATCCCGCTAGCTGATTATCACTGCACTCCCCGTGGATTCCCGTGTGAATGTCACTGTCCGCCGATTCCCATCCCACTGGCCACTGTATGCCATCACTATAACCATCATCCTACCGATCCGATCCGCCGTGTGAATTAAGCAACTGCGTGAACCGAGCCCAATGACAACGATGCACCGCCGCCTTTTTGGAGCGAGGGAATATCTAGAATCTGGATGCAAGTGACAAGCGGTGACCAGAATCGTAGCACTCGAAATCGAGGCACTTAAAACCAAATCGAAATCCTGACCAGCCACGCGACAGGATGAAGCTGCTGGGCAAATACGTGGACAAGGGCATGCAGGGGTAAGAGAATAATCTAGAAAATTTACTTTACAATATCTTTTTATCCAATACATTTTGCCAGAAATGTAACCCTGATGCCCGAAGAGTCCGAGGACATGTGGCACGCCTACAATTTAATAGCCGAAGGCGACAGCGTGCGCAGCACCACCATTCGCAAGGTGCAAAATGAAACGGCCACCGGTTCCTCGACCAGCAGTCGGGTGCGCACCACTTTAACCATCGCCGTGGAAAGCATAGATTTCGACACGCAGGCTTGTGTCCTTCGATTAAAGGGCAGGAACATCGAGGAGAACCAGTACGTCAAGATGGGCGCCTACCACACCCTCGACTTGGAGCTGAATCGCAAGTTCGAGCTGCGAAAACCCGAATGGGACACCATCGCCCTCGAGCGCATAGAAATGGCCTGCGATCCCACACAGTCGGCGGATGTGGCTGCCGTTGTGATGCAGGAGGGATTGGCCCACGTCTGCCTGATTACCGCCAGCATGACGCTGGTGCGGAGTAAGATCGAGGTCTCTATTCCACGCAAACGCAAAGGCAACGTTCAGCAGCATGAAAAAGGACTAGCAAAGTTCTACGAGCAGGTTATGCAGAGCATCATTCGGCATGTCAACTTCGATGTGGTCAAGTGTGTGTTGATTGCCTCGCCGGGATTTGTGAGGGATCAGTTCTACGACTACATGTTCCAGCAGGCGGTCAAGATGGACTACAAGCTACTTTTGGATAACAAAAGCAAGTTTATGTTGGTGCACGCTTCTTCCGGATTTAAGCACTCCTTGAAGGGTGAGCTTGTTAACTTTACCTCTTTACACACATCTTATTCCGTTCTGTATCTTTAGAGGTTCTCCAAGATCCCGCTGTGCTGGCCAAGATGTCGGACACCAAGGCCGCTGGCGAGGTCAAGGTGCTGGAGCAATTCTACATGATGCTGCAATGCGAGCCCGCCAAAGCTTTCTACGGCAAGAAACACGTCCTCCAAGCTGCCGAATCCCAGGCCATTGAAACGCTGCTCATCTCGGACAACCTCTTTAGGTGAGTTCCACTCGGCTGAGCAGAGATATACATACGCAGCTCTTAGCTGAGCACACATTAAGCCCAATCAAGCGGAGAGATCAAGAGCACGATCGCAAAGAAAAGCGAAAACCTTCAACTTTGAGAAAGTGCCATGACAATTGGTGTGCTTATGTCGCCATATGGCCGCAATACATATGTCACCAGTCTGCTTTGGGTGCCGGAAAGAATACAAATATTGGGGCAATTAAGAAAATCTCGAGACGGGCAATCAATTTAAATATGTTATTTGTTCTGTTTAATTGTTTAGCTATACTTGCTGTTTCTTTATTTCAATTTATTTCCGTTTTGGATGGAGCTAAAAATGCATTAAGTATTCTCCATTTAAAAAATTTAAAACATTACTATATACATACATATCTGAAATTGGCTTTTGTAAAACGTTCTTCAAAGTTGAAATTAGGTAATCAAAATGTTCAATGTAAAACCCTAGTTTTCCAATACTGCGTAATTAAGAGAGTTTTTTTTTATCAATTTGTTTTACCTTATATAAATAATAGTTTGTCGAGAGCAAAACTTATTATTATCTTGCTTGTCAAGATAACTTTTTAAAACTTGCAATCTCCACTCGAGATAATTTCTAGGCTTGTATATCTTCCCATTTCGCCATCCTCCTTAAACAACTTTGGACTCCATCAGCATTAGACGATCGCGGTTTCTTCCGCTGGGAATTTAGATCTTCTGTGATCGCACGCGTTTAGCCATTTAAAGAAAGCACGTCCGATCATTAATTTGTTGGCCCCATGACGACGTGCTCATGATCAAGGTTGCTCCAATGTCTCCCCACCATTTTTGGCTGCCAGCCTGTTCTGTTCAGTTTGGTTCTATTCTATTCACTACTCTTCTCTGCGTTTTGTTTACATTTTAATGGGCCGTTGAAATTCCATTTGAAAATCTTTTCGTATGCTAACTGCGTGGTTATAGGTTGTTTTCTTTACTTATCATTTAATGTTCTTAATGATCTAGGCAAAAGGTGTTTTATTTTAGCACATTTAATCAGTCCGCCTTAGGTTGCTTCCCCCATAGTTTTTATTTCCCCTCGTTCCAATCTCAAAAATTGTTCAGATCGCAGGTAGTCGCTATCGTCGTCGTTGTTGTTGTTGCTCTGGACTCTCCATTATCTCGACATTTTTGATTGCTGGTGATTTCGCCATCGTGCAAAGAGAAACAAGAAATGTTACAAAATGCTTTGCTGTAGTTTTTCACTTGATTTACCGATTTCGCTTCTGTTCGTTCCACTGATTCTTTCGCTGTTTCTGCTGGTAAATGGGATCATCTTCTAAATCTTCTCTGTTCCTTATCGTCAACCGCTTGAAATAATCGTCCAGGGTTTCCCTCAGAGGCAGGAGACGATGTGGCGAAGGCGGGGAGCTTGGCAACTTTCTGTGGTCCAGTTTCTTGAGGGATTCGCAGAGGGTGGAATCCGGCCACTGGTGAATGGGATGGCCCAGCTCGGAGATGGTGTAGTCGGGCTGTCTGGTGAGCATCTTGGATCCGCTCGATTCGATTCGATTCGCCTTAATTCAACGGTGTTAAGTGGCCGGCACTTAAATAGGAACTGGAGTGGAAAAATATGTGCGTTAAGTACATTCAAGTGGAGTTGAAATTTGGACAGATAGTCCCACGGTTCGAGTTGTTATGGTTATGTCTTCTTTATATCTATGCCACCTTTTAAACGTTTTACAATAATTCCTAACTTAATTAATTACTTATTCCAAAAAAATAAACTCAGAATATAACTTGTCATCCAATTAAAATACCCCAGAAAAATCATTTGGTTGGCATTTTTGCAACTACCCAGAAAAACACATAACTTTATAATTCAAATTATAGTCACGTATTATGTACTATATACGCGAAAAAAAAAAAATTTGACTCTTAAAACATGAGTGGCTATTATAAGACGGAATTTATTTACTACGAAATTCTTATCAGCGAATTTTTGTTAGAAATATGTATGTAGAGCCATTTAAATGAATGTTTAAGATAAGTTAAGAGTTGGTTTTTTGTAGAAGGTTGTTTAAACATGTTTTGTCTCCTTTTACTCTTTTATCAGCTTTTCCTACTTTTATTTGTCCCTCACCCATTTATTCCGTATTCGTAGATATTCATGGACGATTTTCGAGCTACATTTGCATGCTCTGTTTTGGCAAATTTTTTTGTTTTGTAGAGCTGTTTTCGCCAGACGAGTTTCGATTAGCAAATTGCGAGAAGTGAACTTAGCTTTGATGTAAATAAGCTGTGTGCTAAATAAGCTCTATAGCCGTGTGGAATTGAATCCCTCAGAGCTCAGTGAGCTATTTCTTGTGCTAATTATTAGAACCCGCTGTGGGCGAAAAAAAAAGAAACGGAGACAACAGCCCCGGCAATAAACAACAAATAAAGAATTTTAATTTATTTAATCGCTCCGTTTATGGATCACTTGGCGGGCAACTTTTGAAGCGGACACCCTCGTTTCTCGTTCCCTCCTTAGAATTTTTGGGACCTCCCCCTCTGCGAACCTGAATAGAATCCACATGCCATGTAATATGATCCACTTTCAGCTAAGTTATCAAGTTCTTCTGCTGCTCGAATGCACCTTTAACCGATTCTGCTTGTCTATCCTATAGATTTTGTTTTTCGCATAATATTCATGTGTCCAACCAGTTTTTCTGGTCGCTCTTTGTTGTGTTTTGCAACATTTCTTGTGCATCAAAAACTTGCCCCTTTTAAGCGGTTATTGTTGACTTTTTTCGTCGCAGCTGGCCACGCTTGTAAATATTGTTTCAAAAGACAACTGCTTATATGTATATATTTTGTATATATTTTCATTGTGAAAGCCAGTGAGTGAAAGAAAAGATAGGGAAAAGTTATAGGTTTTTTTCCATTGAGCAAGAAGTAAAAGGGCTTGTGAAATAAACGATATTAACACTATAAATTGTATCTATAAACACGATATCTATGAATCACTTATATTCAATCTCTGCTTCAAGGGTTTTCCACCTCGTTTTGTATTCGGGTTGCGTTTTGTTTGGTCAATGAGTTGGCTGCTTTTTGAAATGATCAAACCAATAACGGCTTTAAAATCAAGGCGTTGCCTTAAAGGTTGCACTTAAATGATCTCACGAAGTGGGGGAGTCAAGGGGGTTTACTAATGGAATTTAAACCTCGCTTGTTAAGGGGAACATTAACGAAAGTTTTATTAATCGAACACTTTTTGTTGAAACGTTTTTTAAATACGAATGGGATTTTATCGCTTTCAACGTTTTTGGAGCACATCGAAGCTTGAGTCAAGTTCAGTTATTCCTCGCACATTTAATTACACATTTTTACGCGCACTCTACACATTTTTTTGTACTGATATCTTGGGGTGTTCACAGCCCCACTTTCCCCCGGCATAATCTTTTTTCTTTCCTTTTATCGGCCGCTCTCTCTTTCTGGCTGACAATTCACGGTTGCGTTCGGCCTCGTGCACGCTAATTCCATTATAACAATTGATTTCATTGTGCAATCATTGTCACGCAGCGGCAGCAACAATTGCAGCTACAGCGGCAACATGAACAGCGGCCGGAATTGCAGGTACATCGGCAACCAGCAGCATCTACAATCTCCAACAATGGCTCACAGTTCATCGCAGTTTGCGGTTGCGGATGAGTTAAAAAAAAAAGTATCTACACCACAGGTAGCAGATAAAATTGTATCTGTTGCTGCTGTTTTGGCATTGCTTTCAGCTGAGTCAGCTAAAAAGTAAAGCTAAACTGTCAGTGGGACTTCAAATATTTCAGGGATTTCGTCTGCATTAGGCAGTATTTTTTTGGCATAGATAAAAAGACTTCAACTTTCACTTTGCTGGTCAAAACACACACCTTTGTATCTTTTTTATGCGAGTTTTGTGCACTTTTCTCTTTCTGTTGTTGCTGCAGTTTTGCGGTTTTTTTTGTGATGGGGATGGTTTTCTTTCTTTTTGCGGGGTCTTAGCACCAATTTTTCTTTTCGCGTGGCAATCTTCTCCGGTTTGGTTTTTAGTTTCGGTTTCCGTCCCTCGAATAGCTCGATGTTCCCCGCAAGAAAGCCGCTTTGCAACTAATTCTTCGCTGCGAAGACAGCCGCGCTCTTTCCCGGTTTCTCAATTTCTCATTCTCAGTTTGCTCTGCACGTGCTGTGGATCGTATTCGGAATACCATCCACATGGGGGTTCATTCCGATCGCTCTGTGGAATCGATCGCACTCTCTCTTTGCAAACAAAAAGCGGTTTGTTGTCGTCAATAAAAATGATAAAATTACATTTTTTCGTCTGGTTTTTTTTAATGAATTTCTCCTGCTTATTATTCTTACTTTCTTACCTGCAAAATCGTTCGTCATTCGGCATTAACATTTAGTTGGGGTTTTTGAACTGCAACTATGCTTTATGAGGGATCGCACTTTCATTGCTTGATGACCGGTGACTTCAAGCTCTCCAGTGAGTAGTGAATGCAAATCGGGGTCTAAGTATAATGTGTGATGGCCCCCTTTGCTGGGGTGGGTGACGCTATGAACCCGCATATCTCCAGTTAAACTTGACACCTTATTCAAGGCGGATTATGCCCATCACGTGCCACAATCCAGCACTTTGCTATGCGCCATTTATTAGTACTCCGGTTGCGGAATGCGAAAATGCAATAGATACGAGCACCTACATCCGTATATGGGTGATAAATGGGCATTTTAATTGATGGAATCGATTCATATGCGACTTGGGTATGGATTCATTGGGTTTCTGTTTTGCTGAAGGTTCTATAATCGCTCATAAATTGTTCATTTTTCACATTTACAGATGTCAAGATGTCAATCTTAGAAAGGAATATGTAAACTTGGTTGAATCGGTTCGGGACGCTGGAGGCGAAGTGAAAATATTTTCCAGCATGCACATCTCAGGAGAACGTGAGTTGCTAAAATTAATAATTTTAATATTAAAATAGCAGATAGTAAACATTTTATATTTAATAATACATCAGATATATTTTGATAATGTTCATTATAAATGTGGCTTACGAATCCACTGAAAGATTTACCATTTTCAATCTAAAAACGATCAAATGGCTGCTTCTTTTTCGAAAATAGAAAGAAGCAATTTAATGACTCACTGTGAAGTGCTGAAAGAAGCTTCTTTACACAAATGATTTAGTTTACACACACAGATAACTTTAATTTACAAGCAAGAATAAAGTTTCTTTGAAAGTAATATATTTAGAGATAGGACTGCTGCATCAAATGGAAAACAAAAATAGAAAGATTGGAAATCATTGGAACGCTTAACCTTGCCGCTTTGTAAAATAACTTCCATATCTCCTTTTTCTAAAAGAATCTCGAAATGACTCATAGAATACTTAGTTTCCTAGTTGGACAGAAATAGATAATCTCCAGCAGAAACATCTTTTCATCACACTTATTCCACCTTTGGCAATTTCTATGCTCAATTTAAATATATATTCATGTGCAGGCCGCCTTCCTCTGTCTAATGACCTCGTTAAAGATTCTATTTTTAAGTTCCCCGATGCAATGTTCTGCCCGTAAACAAATATTGTATATATTGCGCCTGCATTTGTGTATTTCTTGGAGGGGTCCCCCACATTACAAAGTCCACTGTGAGATGAGCGAAAAACATCATCAATTCGCATTGAAAGGCTGCCAAGTAGTTTTCGCTATCTCATTCCGATGGCAACTTTCGATTTCATCTTCGTTTGCAATAAAGAATTAATTAAAATTGCATTTCACATATTGCAAATATTTTCGGGGTGTTAAGTGCTTAAATGCTTTAAATAGCCGTTTTCAGGTGACTCACAATATGCGTTTCTTTCTTTGAGATTCTTTTTGGTTTCTTTGACTTGGCAAGATTTTCGTTTTCGACTCGAAAATGGGTCGTTGGGGTTTCCAAAATAGATCCCCCCATACTTTGTAGCCTGTTGTAACGATCTCCTTATCGAGTTTTTCCGCGCTTTTATCTCTCAAGCACTTCCCTTTCTTATCTGCTCGTAAGTAATAAATGCAATTGTTGCCCGCTGAGCACTTTAATCAGCTTTAAATTACATAAGTATATAAACAATGGAGAGCCTTGTGTAAACAAAACCAAATTTAACAGATAAGAGGGCCTGGCAACATAGTAATTGAATAAACAAATGAGTATTTTTCTCTTCACTGAATTTGAACCTGCATTAATCCCGAGGTAATTGGGCAAACCCATGAATTTTTAATGCTCTCTGGCCGAGATGAATGTGAAGTTCACCGGGTTGTGAGTCATGGCCTAGAACAACCGGTGAGCCTTGGAATTGGCCAGCAGGAACGCCCACAACTTGTTTAAAAATAATAAAAAAGTTGCACTGCTGCAGTTCTGAGATTGAGAGTGGTCTTTGCATCAACTATTGATGGTATTTGTCTTTCCAGCTTACTTGATATTCTGGTTTGCAATGTAGAGATAACATAAATCAGCTTAGTTCTACTCTTGTAACTTGTAGTTTTATTTTTGAGACAAAGTCCATTTAATAACCTCCGTCTTTCCTCCACAGAACTTTCTCAACTGACTGGAATTGCGGCCCTCCTGCGTTTTCCGATGCCCGAACTGGAGGACAGCGACGACGATGATGACGAGGACGGAGCGGCGGGCGGAGGAGATAGCGATAGCGACTAGGATGATATATAGGATGTAATCACAATGGAAGCTCGTTGGAATCTTGGCATTTGTTAACGGAATTAACTGACTTAGGAACTCAACTAGCGATCGATATACAAGTAGACTAATAGCAACCACGACAGACTTGGACTGCGTCAGGGCATATACAATATATACTATATATAGTGCTAATTCGATACAATATACACACAACGTACTCTTTAAGTTTCCCCGTGGCTGGGCCTAGAAATTCGTAGTCAGAATCCCACCATTTTCTGGACTGAAAAAGCCACTGAAAATAATATTATATATATATTGATAGCTTTGATAACAAATGATTTACTGCTTGATTTATCCCTTCATAGAAATTGAGTTGCTGTTGACAGCCGCGTTTAAGGTTATTGTCAATTATTTTATTACAATTGTATCCCTCCTTCTGCACTTAAATTCATTGTTCATTATGTTGTAGAGTGCAAACTAGAGTTTATAAAAATATACTTCCGAAATATATTTGATTTAATATTTGAAATTCTGATTGTTTAAAGAACAGATTTTTATTATCTTCAGAAGTTAGCTCCCTCAATGTTGTTGAACTTTATGAGAAGTGTAATTATCTTTTACGGTGTAAACATAACGTTTTGTTGAACTTTAATAGTTGATGCAAATTGTAATTATTTTCCCATGCTGTAAAATACCTAATCCTTCCGAACAAATTGTAAAATAAAACTATTTCAAATTTGATTTAACTGTACTGAGATAAGTTATAGTTTACTACTTGTTTTTTGGGTAAATATCAAATTCACTCAGGTAAAGTCTGAACATAATTTCCTTCATTTGAAGTCGGAGCAATAAAATTGATTTCATTTGATTGTTTTATACATTTTCATTGTTTATTGTTTAAACCTAGATCAAGACACACAGAACCCCCCGAGCTGTGAACAGCCAGCTTATTTGCCCAACTTGGCTGCCTTGGCAGCTGCGACGGCCGCCTCCTTGCGTGCCTCCCGCTTGGCTGTCTTGCGGGCCTCCTTCTCGTCGGCCTCGAAGGTGCGTCGCTTCTTGCGCAGCAGCCACTCCTCCTTCTCCTTGGTCTGCTTCTCGCGGATGAGTTTCCGGAAGAGGTTGCGGTGGCGGGGCTTCACCATGCGCGCCTGCAGGCGGTGCTCGTCGACTTCGGCCTTGTGCACCGCCCGCTTGTTGACCTTGTGCACCTTGCCCGACTGCACGGACATCTTCTGCTTCTCCTGCTGCAGCCGCTTGGTCTTCTCGTCGACCTCCTCCTCCTCTTCATCATCCTCGTCCTCATCGTCGTCGTCCTCGGGATCCTCCTCGTCTTCGTTGACGCCATCGGGACCGCCGTACTTCTTGTACTCGGCGGTTTCCTGTTGGTAGGCCAGCTGCAGTTGGGCATCGAGCAGCTCCTGGTCCACAGTCTCCTCTTCCTCCTTTTCGGGCTCATCTTCGGAATCGTCATCGCTTTGTGCTGTAAAGGGAAGTAGTATTCAAATGATGTTTGGTAAGATTGGGGGCCTCACTTACCATGAGTTTCGATCAGGGAAGGATCCAGCAGAGCCTTCTCCTCGGGCGGGATGTACGAGTCTCTCTTGGAGTCCACGAAGGGCGATAAATGAGGCGGCAGCTTCTCGCCCAGGAAGTACTTGTTGGTGGGCAGCAACTGGCGCTGGTTCACGCAATCGAAAAGCCACTGAGGCTGGATGTAGTCCCTCGAGATGTACTGCGTAGCTATGCTGGGTCTGTCCACAATCTGGTGAGTGATGGTCTCATCACTTTCGTCGAAGGTAGAGCCAGGGAATATAGATGAGTCCCAGGACACTTTGCCGCCGAAGGAACGGATGATGATGACCAGCGGTTCACGGGGAACCTCGCGATTGATGAAGAACTTCAAACCCTTGAAAAGGTTGCGCAGACGGGCGATTTCTTGGGCCTCCTGTTTCATCTTGATGATGCGCTTTGAGTCGCCATCTTGCTCCAACAGCTCCATGTCGATATCCAGTTCCTCTTCATCCTCCTGCACTTTATCCGTGCGCAGCAGCTCGAAGTTGAGAGCAGCAATGCGGTCGGAAACAAAGCTAGCCTCGTCCTTTAGCGAATCCTCGTTATCCTGAAGCACACTGCTTGGGAATTGAGGTGGATAGGCCAGATTGAGCCCATGGAACAGCCGGAAGTTGGTGAAGCCCAACATAATGGTGTAGAACTCCACGAAGATGGACATAACCTTGAAGTCCACCTCCTGGCGGGATTGCGGCTTGAAGGGATAGTAATGCGGCACAATCCAGGTGACCTTCTGGCCCTTGATCTCTGCCTGGAAGTAGTAGCCCTTGATGGAGATGAACACCTTGCGCAGCGACTTGGAGGCAATCACATAGTGCAGGAACTCGATGGTCAGTCGACGGCACAAGTTCGACTGTTCCCTGGGAATCAAGTGAAGCGAGGGAAATGTGCTGAACAAGAAGAGAAGGGTCAAACAATCATCCAGATCCTTGAGAGCATCGATGAAGGTGGGATAGCGCTCCTTGACAATGTGATCTAGTTTGATTTCGGGAAACAGAGCCAGGCGTCGCTTCAAATTGCGGAAATCCTTGATGGCGCGATCGCGGTTGCTTTTCTTGGCAAAGATCTAAGGATTGCTTAGGTTAGCAATATAATAGAGGGAATTTATCTGAGTATACACACCTTATAGTCACGCAGCGTCCACACAATCGACTCGTGCAGCAGGAAGCGTATGTCCTTTGTGTGGTAAAGGACCTTGATTTCCGAAGATCCTTTCTGTGCCCTGCGCCTGTGTTTCGGTTCCCTGGGATAAACGCCTTTCAGGATGCACAGCCTGCGGAAATCGTTTAGCGAGAGCTGAAGTTTCCTGAGTGCAGCCCGCCGGCTAATATATTGCGTAGCCTCGCCGGATTCGTACTAAAAGAATTTAAAAACATTATAATCCATATGCTTTGAGCAGATACAAATTACACATAACCTTAAAGGGTTTCAAAAATACACCGTTAATCTGGTTAAAACTTACCTTCTTGGGACGCCTCATCCTGTCGGTTTATGAAAATATATTTTTTGTCAAGTGATATCTGTTTTGTACAGATTAATTAAAAGAAAAACACGCTGTTGACCAAAACACACGTTTTTTGTGTTGTTGGTCGCGTGGAAAGGAAGTGTGACCATGTTCCGCTCAAAAAGTTAGGCTTAAGTCTATCGCACAAGTGATTATTGATAAAAGCGAAAATATGAGCGATGCGAATGAGCTCATCGATAGCCGATAACAATAAGATTTAAATTCGAATTTCTAACGGCTTGATGTATAAATATTGTCAGTTTTAAAAATAGTTCCCAAATTTTATTCATTCCCAGGTTATAATTGCTTATTGAATTTACCATGAAATAAAAAGGACTTGACTTTTGCCATTGGATAACTCATTTTATTGAATCTGTTTTTATTGTTTTTTATAGGTATTGTATTGAGAAAATAACATACAGTCTAAGTTTGTTGTATTATATAATATTCGTTATATATTAGTTAGTTTGAACATTAACTTCGTTTTTGTTTTCGCAACTAGCTTACTGCAGTCGCATTTCCATTTTGTTTTCCTGGTTGATAACAAAAGTTTATTAACGGCCCTCGTTCGTTTGCTGCGGCTCTTCAACTACAACTCTGCTCATTGTGAACATTCGTGTCCTTGTGTCGTGTTTCGAGTGTCTGCTTGAGTAATTCTTCTGAGCTTTCAAAGCCTTGTTAACGGTTCGATGTAAATGTATCTGTATCTGCACTTGCATCTGGCTCAGCATCTGCATCTGAGTGTGGTTTGTTGTATATTTCACCTAAATAACTAGTTAACATTTCGGTTTATTCGCTATAGCTTCGTTTTGATTTACATAAGTGTGGTTTCCAACCCGCTCTATTTCTGCGCCAGTTTATTCCAGTTTACCAGTTTACGATCCTTAAAATGCTTTATATAACTTCATATACTTTTGTTTTATATATATATCTTGAGTGCCAGCCATATATGTTTGCATGTATCGTTAGAAATTGACTATATATTTGATTTGCTTTTACTCCTCGCTCGGTTTGTTTTTTTTTGATGATCTCTGTTAACTAATGAGTTTGCTGGGGAGTTTGGTTCGGTTTTCGGGGCCTGGTAATCTAATGAATGCGTGTGTCTGGGTGTGTTTTGTATAAAATCTAAATGTCGTTAACTAGACGTACTTGTATAAAGTAAATAACTCGCTGTATTACACCATATGTATTCATCATCCGAGCGCTCTGGCCTCTCACAAAGATACTGTGAGTTCAGCATAGGATTGGAATCTGGAATCTTGGGGATGGGGATGGGGGGTCACCTACTTCTTCGATGACTAAGGGTTTATTTTTAGACGGGATCAACTGAATATCTGAACCGACTTTAGCTCTTTTGCTCTGCTTTCCTTTCATGGTTAATCGTATTATTCATATATAAATCATTTGTACAATCTTATGTGCTAGAAGCGTATCAGTTGTTAAAATTAATGTCTGTTATTATAATACTCTCATTGTTCGCTATTAAAATTACACACCCGTCTGCACTAATTACATGCCACTATATCGATCGGTCCGCTTGTGTTTTTTTTTTTTCGAAAAAATACACATTCGTAAGGTAAAATTCAAAATTACAACGATCGAAACTCAACAACGCAAAATGTCTTTTGGTGGGTAATGATAACTGTATTACACACGACGGCTATATGTTTTTATTCGCGCTATATCGGCTGATCGCTGGCATTACAAATAATAAACGCATCCGGCTTATATACTTATAAATTTGAAAACACTATAAAATCTTTAAATTAGTCTACCAATATGTTAACTATTACTTTTTACTGGATTCATATATCATATTTGCTTCGTATTCGTTTGGATGCCTCGCATCGGAATTAAAAAATAGAAAACAAATCAAAGCCGCTGGCAACTGACTGACAATTTATTGTTTTGCTGTGTTTCTCTGTCTAAACAACGGACGCAACTTGAAACGGTCTCTAAATATTGTATAATTGAATATAAGTATTGCATACATTGCACTTCACGTGTTCTATTTGTATTCGTAATCGTATTAATCGGTAAGTATTAAAAAAGTAATCCACACGCGGATCGCACAGACACGCTATATGGTACATACATATACTGGTTTATAAAAGTTAATAAATATCCGTGTGTTCCATATACGCTTAGGTTAAGGTCTAGTTCGTAGATTATTTAAAGCTGAAATCAATGATTATGTGCTCGTTCGTTTATCGTTTATCGTTTTTTGTTTATCGTAGACGTTAGTTAGTTATGTGGTATATCGGTATTTCTTGATCAAGACGATTGTTATAGGTGATTGACTTAAGAGCGTGATTAGTTCGGCCAGATCTCTAGAAATGCTTTCGAATGGTCTGTGCTTGTGTTTGCTAATTTTATTTGAAAACATCGAAATTCGAATTGCTAATCATGCCAATTACGTTTAAAACACAATAATCAATTGGGTATACTTACGGTTGGATTTTTCTGCAAACTCAAAAATTTGGTCGAGGACACAAAATTAGCAAACACAAATTTTGGTTTCTTTTTTTTTTTTTTTTTTTTTTTTGGTTTTTTTTTTATAAGTTTACTTTTTTCACTTTAATTTCAAACAATGATTTTTATTTTCATAGTTAAATATTTCATAAAGTATATATAGCATTACTATATCTTTCGATTCGATTTGGTTTGTTCTGTTTCGTTTTATCGTTATTATTATTACTTTCCCTTCTTACGCTTCGTTTATGTTTTATGAACGCTTTTGCTAATGTTTCAACAATTTTTTTGTGTTTTTGTTTCACTTTTACTTTTACGCAATTATTCAACTTGTTAAAAATCTATAACCATAACAATTTCATATATATATATATCTGTATATATATATTTCTTGTATATATTTCCTCTTATTTACGTTGCTTTAAAGCGAGACTTCTACGCCACTCGACAATTTTGTGTGGTATGTGTGCGTTATAGGATGATGATTATTAATGGATGGGAATTTAGGATTTAGGATTTTGGTTATTTGCTTAATGAAAGCTTTCTTTATTGCATATCCTTTAATTTTTGATTAACCATTCACTGTGAGATAAGCGGGAGTGAGAGAAGTTCCTTGGAACAATCGTTTCGATCACAAAGTAAAACTCCTAGGTTCGTTAACAATTTATCAATTCGGTTGGTGTTTTCTCTCGGGAAATTGGTTTTTGTACCTTTTTGGTCAGAAAAGTGGGGCGATATGTTTGAATGCGTGTGTGATAGCTTAGATGTGAGTGGGTGTGTGAGTGAGTAAGGGAAATCTTCAGTACAAGTAATTGCTGGGTGTGCTTTTCCATTTTCTTGTTAGGTTCTAATAAGATGTAGTTAAGTGTGAGTGTTTCGTTCTCAAGTATTTTGTTTTTATATAATAAATATGACTTGGTTTTAAAGTTAATTTGGAAGATATTTTTTTAGGTTTTTCTATTCGACTTAGTTTGTTTATGTATCGTTTGTTGTCGTTAGTTTAACATACAGCATGTATAAAAGTTTAAGTTTATTTGTTGTTTGTTCTTGGAAGTTGTCTCTGTTAAAGCCTGGCGACCGAGGCAATCTACTCGTGAGAAGTGAGCTTGCTAGTTGGGATATATACGATTTAAGGTCGTACTTATCAAGATAGAAGGACTGAAGTCGACAATTTTGGACTTGAGAGCTTTGATGAGAAACGCTTCGAGTGGCTGAGATGAAACTTGTAGAAGGATTAGAAAGTTTAAGAAATTGTATAAGAAGTATAGAGATCTATCATAAAAAATACAAATTAATCCTAAAACAAGAAAGGAAATATTAGATAGGAAAATCTAATTTAAAAAATCAAGAAGATTTATATTTCCAGTTCCATACCCTAATCTAAGGTAATATTAATTCTTGATTAGATAAAATTGGAGATCTGGTTAAAAAAAAAAGCAAATAGGTTTTTTCAATTTGTAAAGATTAAAAGCATTATGAAAAGAGATTTAGATAAGGTAAATATTGAGGATATAGTTAATATAAGTAAGATAAAAAGAATTGGATAATTTATTCTTGGGATTGCTTTGGGCTAAACACATTTTAATTTTTTTTTTAGGAAAATTTTTGATGGAATCATTTGGAATTTTTTGGAAGAATGTTAAAGAATTTCTCAGCCAACTCTCTGCTGGATTTCTGCAAGGACTTCTCTTGGGCAAATGAGTGGATGTGGTGTCCTTTGTGTGGAGAGGGTATGACCTGAAGTAAGCCTCTATCGAGTTTTATACAATGTCTCCACCTCGTTCCCTGACAATCCTGCTCCTGTTCTGCTGCTTGCGACCTCTGACTTGTCCGTATCCTACATGCATATATTATTGTTATTATTATTATTATTTATTTATATATAATTATGTCTGTGTGCAATCGAATGCACTGCACCCATGGGGTGTAAGAGCAGCCACTTAGTTACGTTAATTCTGCTTCTGCGTCTGCACAATCGCATTGTTCAGTTGATACAGTATATATATTCTGCGAATTCGAATGCGTTTATAATTATTTCCGATGCGCTTGGGTCTCGATTCTCACAGTTTTGCAGTGAGATTCGCATGTCGTACGTTTAGGAGTATGCAAATAGTGCGATGCCATTGCTGTCTCCTCTAATTCACTGGTAATAAAAATTATTGCTTTCTGTTCTGAGTGTACTTGCGTGTGTGTTCGTATTAGTATCTGTATCTGTTTCTGTTTCCGTTTTTGTATCTGTATCTGTATCTGTGTGTTGTTCTGTCGCTTCCTTAACTTGACTGCGAGCCATATGCAAACGTCTGGATATCCGTTAGATACATTGCCTACTTAAGTATAGTTGCATATATATATAGTAAGTTATCTTCTGGTATATATAAAATATATATATATATATATATGTATGTTTATATTAAGGTGTATATATGTATGCGTTTAATGTTAAATTATTTGGGTTTCTTTTCCATTTGCATTTCATCGGTTTTGCGGCCACTTGGTTTTACGAGTTTAGGGTTTTAGTTTAGAAAAAATGTTACGTACCTTCTAAATAAAGAGAGCAAGTTGATTTTGTTTCATATTTCGTTAAATATCGTCTTATATGTCGTTTATATATAAATACGTTAATATGCTCATATATATGTACTTGGGGGACTTCATTAAGCAAAAAGTATATGAAATTAGTTTTTTTTTTTTTTTTTTGTGGTTTTTGTAGGCTTAGTTTTTGGTTTTGGATTCGAAGTAGTCTATAATAAATATGGCTTCAATTTAAAGTTAAATTTAAACTCTGCTCCTCGCCAACACGAATCAGAATTAGAATTAGGACTAGAAACGGGATCAGAACTATAATCATAATCATAACTAGAATTAGAATTAGAATTAGAATTAGCATCGGACTGAAATCGATAATCATAATGCTCTGGTCTGGATGTATGGCAAATGCTTATTAGCAAAATGTCTTTTAAGAATGCCCTACATTCGCTTCGCTTTAGCGTTTGAATTCGAGTATAATTGTAGCTTACTTTGAGAGTTTGTTTCGATTTGTTCGCTTGCTTGTTCAATAAGTACGCAAATTATCACTTAATCAATACAGGTCAATATATAATATGCCATGTAAGTGTGTGCGTGTGAGTGGGTATATAAGTATTATGTATATAAGTCGTAAACTAGATAGAGTTTTAGATAGGCTCTGGATAAAGCTTTTAGGAGAAATCTTAGTAGAGCACGCAAATGAAAGGCTTCTGCTCGATTGATCGATTAATCGATCGATCGATCGATCGATCGACTGAACTGAAAGAGCTCAACAAAAAAACTGCTGGAGGCTGCTTTCCTTTATCGTACCGTATCATATCGTATCGTATCGTATCGTATCGTATCGTATCGTATCGTACCGTATATAGGGTGCCTTGTGCCGAGAGATAATCATATATATTTCGTAGATACATACTTTTTGTTTGCTGGTTGTTTTTGCTTATGCTTGTAGTTAAAACCCAAACGTTAGGTAGATAGTTAGTAAGTGGTTGGGAAGCCATTTTCGTGTCTCCTTCTCGCTAGTTTTTGGTAAGGTAAGTAGGTCGTAGGATAGATACGATAGTTGGGAGCAAAGATTCGTAGAGTTAGGGACTTATTGGATTGGGGGCTGCGTTGCGTTAAAAAGCTGCGCGCTAAACACTTTAAAGTAAATGTCTTTCGAAAAAGAAACGCTGGCACTAACTAACTCGCATTTTTGTTAACGTTAAGTTTTCGATTTCGTTATTCGTGTTTGTGTGTGTGTGTTCATGCTGGTGTGTATATCTGTGAGTTAATGTTCGTGGTTGTGTGTGTGGCGGTGTGTTTGTTTGTTTAACAATTCGATTATTTAGCTTTAGTCCATTGTTAATTAATTTGTTAATCATTCATTAATTTGCTTGTATATAATTTAGCTAATTGGTTGTGAGAGAGACGGGCGGAGGATCCTTGTCTCGTCCTCGGCGGCATGTGGACATCCTTTTTGAACGGAAGGTCCTTGTAGTTCGATGGCTTGGTAATTCGGTAACTGCTGTCTGCTTTTGTCTTTGTCCTTGCTCCAAACGCTTTAAAACGGGCAAGTGATAAGGTCGTATTCGAACATCAGCGAGACGGCGACAAAGACAAAATACAACAGGAACATGGTGAAGCCCAACCCCTTGTTCATGCGCCAGCGGAAGCAGGCGATCGACATCACCACGAACACCAGCATCATAAACAGGATGGTTATGGAGCAAACCATGCCCACCGAGTTCACCTCGACGGGTGCCCCATAGATGATTCCGTACAGCAGCCAAGGGATCGGTAGGCTGTCCATAAAATATATAGTTTTTGGGATCCAGTTAGTTGACGTAGTTCCCATTTCGGTTGGTTGGTTGGAGGTCAGAATTTATAGTACTTACCCCACCGTCACGTCGAATATGTTGCTGCCCACCGAACTGGACACGGCCATGTCGCCGAATCCCTTGCGTGCCACAATCACCGAGGTAATCAAGTCCGGAATGGATGTGCCCGCCGCCAGGAAGGTCAGACCCATGACCTATCGGGGAAGAGGAGAGAGGAGCGGGGTAAAGGGGTTAATCAGGTGCGCGAAATGCGGGTGCACAACTCATACACAAAGGATTTCTGATAAACAAAAGGATTCGCTGTCCCTGTGAGTTTTTAGTTCCCTAATTTTGGTAAAGATAATATTTTGGTAAAATATTATTCGAGTGAAAATTAATGAAATTATCTTATATTAACTCTCTTTAAAAAATTAATTCGAACTGAGCTGTTTCGTTATCATATTTTGATTGCTAAAAATAATCTTTCTGTTCTTGATACTATATATATTGTTTTAAACAAGATTTTATCCAACTGTTGTGATTAAATATTTAATTGTAACTCAAAGCTCTTCAAGACTGAGGATTTGGTAAAATCGTAATTTGCAGACCATTTGCTGTTGTTATTGTAGCATTAATTATTTTTTAAAGCCAAGGCTCCGTAACTCTGAGGACTTAGTGGAAATTATAATTAAGGGGAGCTGTTTGCTTTGCTGAGTGTACCTCGGGCGGAATGCGCGCCGTGTCGCCGGCCACGTTGGCCCACCAGACCATCAGGTAGGAGAAGGCGGCGATCCAGACGATGGAGCCGATGAAGGTGACCGGAAAGAAGCGCTTGCCGCGGGGCGTCCGCGTGTCGGGCAGTGTGAGCCACATGGGCACCAGGAGCGGGGCCACCAGGACGTAGGTGAGCCTCTTCCGCGCCGTATCCGGCCAGGCCATGCTGAGGGGTTCCGGTTCGTCCTCGATTTCAGGCGCCTTCATTTTGCGTTCCGATTTTTTTTTTTTTTTTTTTTTTTTTTTTTTTTTTTTGTGGTCAAGGCAAAGGGAGAGATTGGCGATTAGGGACTTGGACCGAACTCGACTGAAGTCTGTTAGTATTATTTAGCCGTAGTATATGGGTATATATATATATTCGTATATAATATTGAATATGTAATACGGAATTTGTTGTATAAAATATATAGTAAAAATGTGGGTGTTTCTGTGGTTGAAGTGGGTGGTGGGTTGATTGATTTCGAGGTCGGGTCTTGTTGAGGTGGAATGCCTTGTGAGCCATGTTTACAGATGGGCATGAGATTCGGTTACGGGATTGCTTTTTTTTTTTTTTTCTTTTGACATAGTACAATTTTGACTTCGCTTTCGGGTTTTTCAATTAGTTACGAACCATGTTTTTGGTTTGTTTTGGGTTTTCATTGTTTTCTTTTTTTTTTTTTTTTTTTTTTTTTTTTTGGTTGGGAATCCCTGGTGGAAACTCACAGACAGGCGTTTAGAGCTTGCTTGGCGGGATCGGAGTGGTTTCGGTGTCGATCAAGGATCAAAATACTTAGTGTGGAGTTCGAGTTCAACGGGGGGTGCACTTACTTTCTAGCAGGACTACAATTACGATACGATACTGATACTGTGCTCAGAGAGAGAGTTGGTTAGACTTAAAACGTGCAGAGTTCTCTCGGCATCGCCAGCAGAGTACAGTGGGTACTACAGTGGTGCATTGGTACAGTGGGCATGCTCAAGTTAGTCTTGCAAGTGCAACAACACACAGACACAGTCTACAAGGTCAAGATCAATGGTGAACGAAAGTAGAAAGTAAAACTGGTTAAAACGTGGTGGCTAAGTCTAGGTTTCATGTCACTAAGTTGTGTTACACTGAAGCAAAAATGTGTGTACTATTGGTTTGGTGGTTCTTTGAGATTCTTTGCAAATGCAACAACTAAGTGGAAATTTGTATGCGGTCTACACTCCAAGCTCTTGGGTAGCAACTCAAATGTAATTCCGTTTAATATCGATCAAGATATGGGTTACTCATGGGCAGGATTGCGGTTTTTGGACTTGGCATTCTGGGCAACAATAATTAATCATCATTGAGGTGATTTCATTTACGACATTCGATATCTTTCAGTCAATGGTGGTATATATATAGAACGGTCGGAACCAATAACGTTGCTATCGGAAATGTAAGGGGATAAACAAAATAAATATAGGCTGGACTCAGTAATTTTATAAGTACTTTACAAAAGATTATAGTCCGCAAAGATTCCCATTATTATTCACTTTTTTGTAAAATAATTATTACTTTTCAATAATTAATTTATTTAAATAACATTGTTTAAAATACCCAATGATTTTAGGAAGGCCAATGCCAATGAGCTTTTGTGTACGACTCGCGTGCATTTGCCAGATATTTTCTTTGTTATTAAATTAAAATCAAAAAACACTTTCATCGTTTACGATATATTTGTTGCACAAAAAATGATAAAGATTGTATGCAATATATAGAAGAGCGAAGATAGATAGATATAGAGAGAAAGATAGATAAGAGAGATCAATAAAAATTGTTTATGAAACTAACTTTGATGCTAAATTTGCGTGTCTGAATTTTGACCCTCTGCTCAATCCAGCTAGGACGTCGACCACTCAACGATGGCTTTATGTTGATTATCAAGATACATTATAAATTTAAATGGCAAGTATTTCGGGAGAAGAATACACATTTATAAATATTTTTAGTGATTGTCAAACAAAAGGTTTCAGATCTCAGGGCTAAGTCCTCAGGATCAGATCAGTTATGTAAATAAAACTTTGATTAAAACTTAGGCTGTTAGAAAAAGTAGAAGACTTTTTTTTGGGGGGGTTAGACAGATAGATAGATTTGAAAAGAAGGCTGTTCACAATGTTCAGAAGAAGTGTGGGTAGTCGGGGGTAGTTACATTACAAACACATACGGAGCGGGGAAGAGTGGAAACACAAACACAATTTGCTGGTTGTGGGTAACACTGTTTTTGTTTTCATTATTTTGTAAGGATTTTCGTTTATTTTCTTTAAGAGAGAAGCCCAACTCGGAAAATTCGGTTTAATGCGGCCAACGAGGCCAGCCATGTTGTGTCTAATTGTGAGTCGAATTTGAATGAGGTCGCAGTAATTGAGGCGAGTCAGCACCTCAGAATTTTGTTTGTTTGCTTTGTGATCTTTGCATAAATCATAACAAAAAAATGTAATTAATAACCAACTAGGAAGCGGGATTTTCTGCGGCAAGCCGAAGTCTGAACACTCTTGCAAGGGGATATATATTTTGTTATAGTTACATTAAGGAAAATTTTTTGATTTTATTTGTAAAAGTTTATTGAGTGTTTTCATGCAGCGATATATCCATAAGCATGTCTTATAAAATCATTAGAGATTTGGAACCCCTTAAGATTTCTGTTACTATATTTTCGTAGTTTTAAAAGTCATTAACAAAAGTTTAAGAAATGAGAAGTGCGGATAAACATTTTAGAAATTATTTTTTTGAAAGTTTACTTCGCAATTTCATCATTGTTTTTGGGGATTTTAACCCCCTAGAGATATCAGAAAATTACTTTTTAAGCGGATAACATATTTTGCTAACCCTCTGCAAGAGTTTTATATTTTGTGCCCGCAATGAGCATCCGGAATGCAACGCTACTTTATTTGCTCATTTTGCTGATGGGGGGCCAAAGCGAAATGCTTGCGCCTTTGCATAAAAATGTTCGCGTTAACAAAATGCCAGCGATTACGATTACGATACGCGATGTACGATATACGAGCACACACGCTGTGTGGGTGGGTGTGGTTATACTGAAAAACTGAGCGATCGGTGGTTTTGGGCGCAGCTACTTTGCATTGGAATGACTGCATAGCGCATTAGTGAAATATGAATGGAAATTATAATATGACTTTGCTTCTCCTCGATTGTTTGTTGGATATAATAAACTGTAGATGTTTTTGTGGGTTGTATCAACGCTATTAAACCAAATCAGGAAAAAGACACAAAGCAAATGAGTTCCAAATGGGTAATACGGTATACGAGTATGCAAAAATTTCACTATTCCGAATTAGCTCTTCTTAATCTGGGGCAAGACAAAAACACACAGAGATATAGATAGATAGATAGTTCGATAGAGATGGATGGATAGTGGACAGATGGAGGCATGAAGATACTCCGAAAGTCGGGGAGATAAACATACACAAACAAAACGAAAGGAGGTTGAGAGGTAAACAGGAGGAGATTCGAGGCGTGTGTGGTGTTCGAGATAGAGAGTTGTGGGTGTGGTGGGGATGGGTGGGCGGTGGGTGGGTTGAACAGTTGTATGGAAAAGAATTCGGACACAAATCGTTGTTTAGTTTAAGTCAAAGAAGTAAATCAAAATCCATAATAAGTCACACATAAACGTTGCATAAACACACAGACAGATCTTTCTGGTATATAATTCTTATTTATTATTTTATTTTTGGTTTCTTTTCGCTGGGCGGGCCTACACACTTAGGCAATTCACATTTTTGAACCGGCAAAAAACAGTGGGAAACGAACAAGGAAACACATCGAAAAGAATGGAGGGAAGAGTATACATCAAACATATATTCGGGTGGGGTATAAACACACACCATGGTTCAGTTTAGAATCAGTTCAAACGTAGCATCAATCAGATAAATCAATCAGTTGCTCAATCAATCGATTCGGTCGATTAGCAATGCAAAGGAAACATGCCAACAGCTAGAATTGGAAAATGGTGTGTATATTTTTGGTAGATCGCTTGAACTGGTCGCTAAACCCTGTCTGGTAAATTGGGTAATACATCAAATTGTGGGTAATCCGATTTCCAATATACGATATTGACGAACGATATACGATATTCAAGAGGACACTTAAAATATTAATCGTATTGTTTCAAGCTGTTGATGCTAAATAACATTTACGATATCCATTTACGATATTGATATACGATATTCGTTATTCATTTTTCCGGTAGTTCTAATATGATATTTTCGAATTAAAAGTTGTATATTCGGCCTAACTCCTTGAATATTCTATCGCGAAAAGTTATTCGATATGACAGCTACTTTCCGATTTACGACATTCAGATGACCGTTTTAGCCTGACTTATCAATTGTTGCTTGTATGAAGAATGCAGCGCGTTGTGTGTGACACAATCAATCAGTTTGTAACCAAAGAGCACAATAACCGAAAACTGAAAATCAAATCAATGGATATTCGAAACGAAAAAAGTCATGCCTAAGGAAAATCATGAGCATTATTATCATTAGCAGATTGTACGGATACGAGGACGAAACGGAGGTGATCGGGAGGACTTACCGAGTCGAGGGTGGTGTCGATGTTCCCATTGGGACGATCGGCGAGCGTGGTCTCCTTGAGGTTGATCTTGACGTGGTTGGCCGCCGAGGTGGTGGCACCACCGCGCTGCGGCTTGGTGGCATCCAGCAGGACCTTCAGCGAGGCAATCGCGTGCAGCTGCGTCGCCTTCTCGTCCACTTTGCCTGGAACATCATCTTTGTCATTGTAATTGTGTGTGGTTTTTTTTTTGCATTGTTTTTTGCGAGTGTTTCGATAAATAATGCAGTGTTTTTGGTTTATTGTTTTTTGTTTGTTTGTTGGTACACAAAACACGAGTGTGGTGGTGGTGGTTGTGTTGGTGTGTAGGCGAGTAGCGGTGTTGTCGTTGTTGTATTTGTTTTTGGTTGTTGTTTGTGCGGTTACGGTATTCGGTTTTCGATATTCGATTTCGATTTTCGTTTTTTTTTTTTTTTTTGTATTTTTTATTTGTTGGCACACAACGAATTGAGTTTTTGAACGCAAAATCCAAGTGTTTATTTTTATTTGATTTTTTTTTGGTTTGGTATTATTTTTTTTGCGAAAAATCAAAAGAAAAAAAGAAGAAAAAGAAAGAATAAAATTGCATCGATTAAAATCAGAAATAAACGAATTAACCCAGTTACGAGTTTCATTTTCAGATTTAGTTTCTTTCTTAGAGCTTTTAATTTACAATCAAATTTACTCATTTAGGGGATTGGATTGGATCGTTCATATACGCAAATATATGTCTATATGTATATTTTGAAAATATTTTATACAAAATGTTGATGTCAGTTGCGAGACAGCATTTGGAGGTTGCTTGAGTAAGTTGAACAGTTAGTTAATATAGCTAGGGGATACAGTCTAGTCTATAAAGTAGAGTACAGGGTATTAAAGAGTTCTATAGAGCGGAAGAGAGCGGGGTAGCGGAGAGCAGAGAGCGGACAGCAGAGAGAGAGAGGGGTGGTGGGGGAGATCGTAAGCTGACTAGGACTACAACTAGGACTATTAGTAACTAGATCTAGTCTAGAGATCACTACAGATATTTACCGTGTCAGAGTCTCATGGGTTTTTGGTCTAGCTTTTGTCTCTGAATCGATCCGATTCGATCTATTGAGTGTGGACTTGTGTTTTGCACTAAGGAGCTGATTAAAGATTTGAGATTTCGATTTCGATTTGCGATTTCGATCTGGTTTTCTTTTTTTTTTTATTTTCAATGGTGCTTGGGGATCGGACGGGGTTTTCTGATGGGTTTTAATTCGATTCGATTCGGTATCTTTTCTGTTGTCAATGCGGCGTGAAGTTCCTTTTTTGAATTTACATTATCTCTGATCAGGGGATCATCATCTGACTAGATGGCTACATTTCGAAGGACCCCTGTTTCTAGCTTTGCACTAAGTATATACATATACATATGTGTGTATATATGTACACGATTCCGGTTGACTTAAATCTAAGCTTAGCTTACGTTTCTATAGATCGCATGTGTGTGTTTGTCGCGGTGGGTGGATATTTTTGGGGGGGGGATTCTTAGCGATATCGTTACGACTATCTTTGGTTTTAATACAGACCTAGAGAAGAACATGCTCATACAGAGAACTGAGCAAAAGCACGACTAGTTCGGGATGGGTCTTGTGATCTTGGCTGCTCAATCAACTGGAGTGGCAGGGTAATTATCTTAACTTAGCACACTTCGATCGAGATCATTGCCATCGGAGTTCGGAAAACGATTTCCGCCCTTCTCTCTGCCGGATTTCCACCGATCGCAGGCCCAAAAACACAATTCCCATACAACACGAGCATAACGAGTTGAAGAACGAAAAAAAAAACACACAGGTAAACCAAATATGACGAACATTCCAGTGACAAAAAGCGATCCGACCTATGCAAAAACAACCTGAAACTAGCTCGACTAGTCGCACATGCAGTCGCAGCTCGTCAATAGTTTAAATAGTTTACAGTAGTTTCTACTCGGGTGTGGTGTGGTGTGGTGTGGAGTGTGTGGATGGGTGTATAGTATAGTTTTGAATGAGTCTGAGCCCCTAAGTCTAACTCGAAGCCAATTTCGAACAGCATTGCTGCGAGCCAATTGTACTAGTTGCTAACTAATTACAATTTCAATTACAATTACGATAATGATTACGTTTAACACATACAACATTAAAAACGCATAGTTAATATGTACAGTATAAATTGTTTTTTGTTTTTGGTTTTTGTTTTTGTTTTTGTCACGCGTCAAACTCAACTCAATCCAGCACTCAATGGCACAGGTACTCGAACTATTTGGCATATATTAAGACCCGAGGTATATCTTTTAATTCGATTTAGACAGTACGTGTGCCATTGAACTGCGCGAACAAACTCTAGGAATTTATGATAAGTTCTCTATGCTAGATATATAACGCATATGTATATATATATATAGATATATTGGTATAAATGTAACTCCAAACTGACATTGAACAACATAAAATATTTTCGTTATTTTGGTTTCATTTTTTTTTCTGCTTTTCTTTTTGTTTTTTATTGTTTTATTTTTTTGGTTTTCTTGTTTGCAACAAAATGAAAAACAAAGCCGAAAGTAAATCATTAAGTAGCGTATTTGTGAAGCTTTAGCAACTAAAGGCAAAGGAATAAACACTTGTGATCTGAACTAATAAGCTCTAATTGAGATCCGCTTAAATTCTGAATCATCTAATTATTCTCGAAGGGGAATTTTAGTTTTTAAAGACCTGACAGGAATATAATAGCTGCATTGTGTTTAAGTTAATATATTCTTGAAATTTTAATTAATCATTTTTGTAGTCGTTGGAATCTGTTAATTTTGAACCTACCCAATATAATAAAAATGTAATCTCAACACACCCTATTTTAAAATAGAAATCTTCTTTGCTTAATTGTTTGATTTATGTCGTGCCTATTGATTCGTAATTAACTTTGTAGTTGGAATTTTTTCTTCGGCTTTGGAAGCCCTGGAATATTTCACATAGTTGTAATAGATTTACTCGCTAGTTGGGGTAGGCCCACTTGGAGCTACACGAATTCTAACACTTCGCACCTGCGAACCTTGGCGAGCACGCCCCTGAGTCGCCTGAGTTGCCTCATTTCGATTCGTTTGGTTCGGCTCTCTGTGGGCCATTGCCGTGGCAACGACACTGACGACGCCTCTCCTACATATTCATGGGTAGATATGTAGCCGCCGATCCGAACCAAAATCAATGGTTCACTGGTGGAAAGTGGTGCCAATCTGTGATTGGAAACTTTGCACAACTTTTGCACAGACTTTTTTATCCGGTTTGGGGGGAGGAGGTGGTAATATCGCGATGACCTTTACCTTCCTGCCCCGCCCGAAATTCAGAAAGGGTTAGTGCTGTCAATCGACTCAACTGGGTGTTTTTTCATTTTTTTTTGCTTGGTCTAATTCTAGTCGACGCTTCGTCTGGGCCTGGCTCGCTAATTAGGTAAGTGGCTCCAAGGTCGCCATTAAAAAAGTGAACCAAAGCCAACGAAAGCTAAAACCAAATTGAAAGGAAAACAAAACAAACCTTACTTAAACGAACTGAAAGGCAAGAACGCAACGCAAATGAGAAATGGAAGTAGAAGTGAAAATCGGAGCATAGACATAGATATAGATATAGGTACAGATACAGATAATTGGGTAGAGCAGCAGAAGTGGAAGGATGAGCGAAAGTAACTTCTGGCTGGCAAGTCAAACATCCAATTAGAAGGAACACAGAATTTACACAGAATTTGTAGGAAACCGAAAGAAATCATAACTAAATGGAACAATTTTACTTTAGAACAGATATAATAGTTAACAGGTACAGGTACAGGTAGTATATATAGTATAGTATATAGAGTAGAGTTGGATGTTATTGCATTTGTATTTATCTTAGTTTTGGATGTAAGCGTGGCGGACTGGGAAATGCACTGAGGCACCAATCGAAAATCAAGAGTTTTAAATTGGGTGGCTTGTTTTTTAGTCCAGAAAAATATATATTATCTTTATTGGCTTTTTTTATACTTGCTTAAATAAATAGCTTTTCATTTATTTGCAGTAATGTGTAATATATTTATTTAAAACCCTTGCTACATGAGCTGGAAAACAATTGAGATTAAAATTACTCATACGCCGCGTATGTCCGCTCAAATGTAGTTTATAATTTAATTGCTGAAGCAGAGTTGTTACAAGTAGAGCTATAAAATGTAATTGCCGATAAATCAATATTCATTTTTTCATTCATAAATACGTTGAGGAAAGTAAACACAAGAGTGACATTTTTTCTGTTGTATCTAAAAATAAATCTGTTACCAAGGAATCAGATATTTAAATTAAACTCTTGTGTAAAAGGCAAATTTTAATATTTATAACTGATTTAAAGATATACATAGCTTGTGGACTAAACTCTTGATTTGCAGAACTGGTTTATCAGTGCGGGAGAGGATTTGGAACTGGATTTGGGAAATCGGTTTTAGGTTATGGTTAGCAGGGGGACTTTCGTTAGGGGGACGTTTTAATAGCTTTCTTTTTGGCATTTTGGCATTTGGCATTTGGCTTGACTTGTGCAAAACACACTGTGGCAACTCAACGAACTTACCATCGTGTAGTGGATCTATCGTGTGTATCATTAGCTGTAACAGGCCGTGGCGGAACTTGGCACCGGTCTGAGTACTACCCGATGTGCCGCCCCCGCCGCTGCTATTACCTGTGGCACCTGCGTTGCTCGATCCGGGCGGACCCGATCGGGTTTCGCTGGCCGCCCTCGAGGTCACGGATCCGCCCGGCTGGGTGGCCATCGATGTTTCCGAGGAGTTCGCCGCATTACCCTGCAGTGAAGGAACGTGGGTGGTTTTTTTTTGCGGTTACGGTTACGGTATCGGGTATCGGGTAGCGGTCAGTAACGGTTTTCGAATTTCGAATTTATATTCGGGTTAGATTGGGTTAGATTTCGAGATTTTTCGAGTTTCGGTTGAGTTTTTCGAGTTGTGGTATTTTTTTCAGATAGCGGTGTTATATGTTATTGGTTTTATATTTGGTTTTGGTTTTTTTTTTTTTTTTTTTGTAATTATGGTAAGCATATTTCGAGAAAAAGGTGAAAAGAAGAAGAAGAAAAGTTTATTATTGCAATTTGTATAAATTTACAAAGTGTAGCTTTTGGTTGAATCTTTTTGTTGGTCGCATGTTTCTGTAGCTGTTGTTGTACTTGTTCTTGTGGATGCTGTTGTTGTTGTTGTTTGTGGTGTTGTTGTTGTAGTTGTTTGTGTGTGACTTAAGAACTAATCGAATCGTTAAGTGCAAGTTAGTTGGGAGCCAATATCTGAACAGAACTCAGGAAACATCAAACGATAGCGGAAAGGATAAGGAACTCAAGGAATGTTCAAAAGAAATAGTAAAAACTAAAAAAAAAGACTTATTTACCACAACATCCAACAAAATACGTTACGATATACGGACCACTTGCGATCAAACTGTGCAGCTGATCTATGGAATATATAGTACATATAGTATTGTCTGAGGATTGCGTTTCAGAGAGATCCAGAGTCTGGAACTTCGATTCGATTGACGTTCCGTCAAAAGTGGATGTTGGAGAGTACAAAATATATAGAGTTTCTGAAGGTTTTTGTGCAACAAAAGAAAACATCTCGATCGGTGCGGTTAACACTTTCATTATTTACAGAAGGAAAGTAGGTGCTAAGGATCGATCTTGGAAGTATCTTCGAGAGACCGCAAAAACATCGGGCTCGTTTTTTTTTGTTCGGAGGTGAAACACATGAGTCGTATATATTACAAAATCAAAATGATAAATTCGAAGATGAGCAAACAAAATACGTATAGATGAACACTTTTCGTTTTTGGTCGTTGGAAATTTTTTCTGTTTGTCTGTTGCAACAGTTTGGTTGGTTTTTATACATACAAGCATTATATATGACTTTCTTTTTGGTTTTCTGTATACTTTTTTTCAGTTGCTTTGTTAAAACAAAATGTACACATATTGTTGTATTTCTTTTTTATATCTGTATTGATATTTGTCAAAGCGCAGTGGGAAGTTTTGTTGTATTTCATTTTGCCTTCACTATAATCAAAAAGAAACAGATAAAACACAAAAACATTTGGAAAAACTTTGTCGGAGAACTGAAACCGATAAAAATACGTTCAATCGATGCGAATTAATTGTTTGGCACATTAGCGAAGGAAGCGCAGGCAGATATGATGGATCGGATACGGATTCGGATTCGGATTCGGATTCGGAATCGGTGGGTTTAACTAATGCAACAAATGCAGGCACTAACCTTACAGCTACGAACTACTTAAAAGTGTACTGAATGTGGAGCGGGAGGCGGTGGATGGGGACTCTAATGAATGAATGGAGGCGATATGATAATTGGCCTGGTTAATACTATATACTATATATAGCGGTGTAAGTGGAGAACGAGTCTTTCGTAACTCCCATTCATAAGTCTCACTGAAGCTGAAGCTAAAGCTGAATCAGAAAACTGAAAACTGGAACTGGAAGTGGAAGTTGAGCAGGTGTAGGGCAAGTCAAGTTCGGATAACTCGCTCTTGGCAACTTAACAAGTGGCTCGTGCCCAGGTGAACTACCCCACAGCGGTTGATTATAATGCTAATTAATGCCCAGTCATGCTGTTGATCGGCCCATAGCTAATGGTCTGGGTTTTCTGACCCAATCACACTCATTCACGCTTCGAACTAACTCATCCACTGACGCAAAACCCAAAGACACCTGTGAAATCTCAGATCGCATCGCGGGAATTCATCATAATCTTTGAAGACCAGGGAGAAAGAACTCTCACCCAGAGATTATTCACCTCGGAACCTGTTCCAAAATGCGGGTCTGATTATTTTAGACAGTGCAATTAGCCAGAATTAATGGCAGTCCATCTGTATTAGCTGCACTCAAGTATGAACTTACCCCAAAAGTATTTTATAATATCGAAAATTCATCACCGTTCGGAGACAAAGACGAGGGGCAATTTACCTTACCAAAGCGCTTAAATCACATAATGAATTATTTAAGTTCAGCATGAATCATGCTACGTAACTGAAAAAAAAAAAACACTCAAGATCAACACTCAAGCTGGAAATTTCGCCTGTCGACCTGAGTAGTGTGCCAAATGATCTAAGAGATGCAAATCCGCGAGACAAACAAAACGCTCAACTTGTCACTCAACCTGTTTGCATATTACAATCTTATACGAAACTAAATCTCAACTCGGAATTGAAATCCGAATCGGAAACGGTGGCAACCTGACTTGGCGACCCCCAAAGCGAGTTCCAAGAAATGGCGCAAATATTCCTGGGATCCACTTGTGACGTCGAGCCAATTTGTTTACGCTCCATAAGTGGCTCGGATAACAACAACAAAGCGAGTGGTGAGCGGTGATAAAGTGGTGTCCGATATCCGACTGATAACCCACCAGCGACTCAACCGATGCACTCACTTCGCGGCGAGCCGAGAGTTAAAGCCTGACTTCGGAATCAAACGCTTCGATTGCTGCGGTCGCTGTTGTAAATAAATGCGAGGTTTATAAATACAACGCCGAGGGGCGCGCGTCGTCATTTAGTCACGAAGCTTTAACCAAACCGCATCGGAACGCGAGTCCCCCGCCAAAACGCCACTTATCGAACCGCAATGTTTCAGAAAAGGATTATCGAGCTGATCACCGTGCTGGTGTACTGGGTGATCATCACCCCGACAACCTATAAATACTGCACACAGAACGGAATAATCAGGATGAGCTTCGACACGCTGGTGGGCACCGTGGGTGACCACTGCACCCTGGCCCTCTGCCTCATGATCGGATACGTGGTCTTCTATCGCATCATCATATTCATCTACATGAAGCTCAAAGTGTGCGACATCCGCATGTGGGACGAGTTGCAGCGCGCCAAGGAGGATCCCGAGGCGCACTTGGATAAGAAGTCCTATTACCAGCCCGTCTCCACCGAGAACATCGATGTCGTGGACTCCGGAAAGAAGAAGGGAAAGCCAACCAGCCCAAAGATGATCAGGACCATCAGCAATCCGCTGCTCATCGAAAGCGATTTGGCGCGCATTCACATCAAGCACGAAACGCGAAAGCTGGAGTGTGCCACCCTGCCGCGACTGCAGCAGGCGCAGGTCCACCCTAGTCCGAGTCCCAGCTTGAGGAGTGCACCACCCGTGCCCCAAATGCAGAAGAGTGCCACACTTCCCAATCAACACAGCACCGGCGTCATCATGTCTCCCAAGGTTCTGATGCCCAAAACCCAACAGGTGTAGACAGAAGTGATCGCATCCTTAGCCCAATTCAAAAAGGATTATATCCGCATCAAGTATTAGCTAGTGCCCAAAGATCGATTATCGATAACAAATCGAAATTAGTCAATCGCCACATTCCAGTGAACTCGTTCGCGCGATTTAAATTAATTCCTTAGTTAGTGAATTTATATTTATTGCTAAATATAAGGCAGCTATTGTTATCTGTGTAACTACTTATGCAATTTATTAAAACAATAATAAATGATAAGCATATTTTTAAAAAAATTAATGGCTCACTTATTTGGGAATTACGGAACTCCTTAGTAAAAAATAAATGCGGGAAACTCTCAAGCATGAATTATTCCCAGTGAAAGTTATATAATGCAGCTCGGCTTTAATGATGAAATCGGCTTCGTTTCCCAGGAAATTTTAATGCGAGCCGAGGCTCGCGGTCTAAGTTTTATTTTATGATCAATCAGTTATATTTCGCTTGTTGCTGAGACACTTTTGTTTATTTTTTTCTCTGAGCGCTACATAAAGATATAGTTCAAAAGCCGGAAATGTTTCAGAGAAGAATTGTTGAGTTAACCACTTTGCTCGTCTTTTGTTTTATCATTACTCCGATGTCCTACAAATACTGCAGAAAGAGGAAAATCGTCAGAAAACTCGACACGGACGACTTACTTTCAACTGCTCACGAAAATTTGGCCTTTATTTTCGGTGCGATGATTGCATATGCAATCTATTACCGCGTAATCATGTTTAGCTACATGAAGCTAAAGGTCATCGACATCAACATGTGGAAAAAAGTCAAGGAGGCAAAGAGGGATCCAGAGGCATATTTTGCCAAAAAGTCTGGCAGACAGAATTTACCCAAAGAAACCCCATATGAACTGCACAGTAAACCAGAGAATCCGTGTGACATAGAGAGCATAAGCCAACCTTTGCTTATAGAAAGCGAATTGGCTCGAATACATGTGAAACACGAGACACGGCCACTTAAAACTGCCACCCCAACTTTACGGCAGGAGAAGAAGGTCCACCCTAGTTCGAATTCGGGATTAAGAAGTGCACCACCTGTGCCCCAAATAAAGAAAAACATCACTCCACATGTATTCAATCCTCAATTAAAAATTAAAATTTTAAATTAAAAAAAAGCAACGATTATTTTTGAGGGGTAGAACCCTGATTTTGTGTTGTTGAGGATTTATGTAAAACTCATTGTTTGAAATTTATGTGTAAAAGCCTTCGACTCATTTATTAGTAATCTGTAAGTTGCGGTCAGTGCGCAAATATCAACTATTTTATTAAGAGTATTGTTGGGCTCGAGGTTTATTTGTTTAAAGCATTTCATACAATGAGCATCGAGTCGAAATGCTGGAGAAAAGGTTAATCGAACTAATATCGTTCTTTTTGTATTGGATGTTACTCGCGCCGTTTATCTATTCGTTAATTAAGGATAAATATCTACAATGGAACGCAAAGGAACCTATGGACTCCCTTTTCAATTACGGCTGGTTTGCTATATCCCTACTGGTCGGCTACATCCTGTTTTTCCGCACTTTTGTAATCATTTATACGATGCTAAGTCTTTGGCACATTCAAATGTCCCATGAATTGAAAGTGAAAACTAAGGAACTGGAGGCGAGATACAACAGCAAGTGGAGAAAAAATGTTAATTCAAAAAGAAAAAATAGTGACGTAAACTCCAAAAATATGGTTGGGTATAACAAGAACGTGGATGCTGTGGACTTTGCAAAAGCTATCCAATCGGTGAAATTGAAAAGCAATCTGGCTGGCATTCACATCAAGAACGAGAGAAAGGATTTTGGAACCTTAAAGGGTGGAGCCTCTGACCAAAAATCGGAAAATATTTAAAGGCCCTAAATTAGTCAGCTTAGTCATATTGTGATATATGTATGTGTACATATGTAAAAATCTGTGAATAATAATGTTTTTTTAAAGTTATCTATTGCTCGTTTTTTTTTTTTTTAAGGAGAAGTAAGGAGCACTTAAGGCAACCTAACATAGTTTAATGAAAGAATAGTTGGAAAGACTTCCCCACACCAAAAACTAATTTTAAAAGCGAAATCGACAATTTTTCTAGAATCATTTGAATCGATATACATATACGTTTTAAACTTATTCAAGGATGATAAGGTGTGCGCATGAGAGGTGTTATACATAGCAAAAAGCGAAATCTACAGTTAAATTAAAAGTGTTCTACGCATGCGTACATATTCCGTTCCCTTCCCACACTCCATCCCTCTCACTCACACTCGCGCAGCATGCGACGGGTTCGAGTCCCGGCTAACGATCAAGATCAAGATCAACAAACAAGATCAAGTTTTTAGTTCAAGCAGTGTGTGCAAGGATTTCTTTCTGGGATTCTCAAGCATGCAGAGTTCTCTTCGGATCGGAGTGTATGCCCGTGTATGAGTGTCCATGGGTGTGTTGTGTGTGTGAGTGAGTGAGTGGGGGTGTTCAGTGGGTGTGGGTGTGGATTTACACAAGTCGAAAGACGCATAGCAAATCAAACTTTTGACTAACAAATGGAATCGAAGCTAAGTACTAAAGAGGAAATCAGAAGTTTAACTAGTGAGTAGGATTAAGATTACTTCGATAGCATGAAAGAATAGTATAATAATAAGAATAATGATAAAAGTTAGTAGAACTCGGAGGTGCAACGCAGCCAGTAATAACCAGTTAGCAACGTCTTGTCAATATGTTAAATAAACGTTCTTCGTAGATAAATTTGCATTAATCGAAAGAGATACCATATACAAATTTGCATTGAAAAAAAACTTGGGTACTATAAGTACCAGAGTTATGGAATAAGATCTAGTATAGATTTCTTATAAATTGTTTAAATAGGAACCTTTGAAAGTGTTGTGCTGTTTTTGCAAAACAAAATTCCAACAGGTTCGTGAGTATTGAGGATCTGAATTCTAGAAACCGGATTATCAATTTAATTTCAACAAGTGATCTCAGTATTCAATAAATATTGGAGGATCTGAAACGCTCAATTGAAAAAATAATTTCTAACCAGTTTTGTCGTAACATTTCAATAGGTATTTCTAGAAAGACGCTCCCCTGTTAACCCAAAACCGGTTCTGGGTGGGAAAAAAAACCCAAAGATGGGTCTAGAAATGCCATATAGGTGAGTGGACCGATTTCGAATCGTAATGAAACTGAAAGTGGGTCAAGGCGCCGAATGGAGATCGCACTCTTTCCGCATTTCCTGCACCTGTATTCGAATCGCAGGTGAAATTCGAGTGGAATTTCGATTGAAACTTTGAGTGGAACTTTGAGTGACTGTCACCGGATAAATGTCGATGGCTTTCAATGCCAAAGAGCAGCATTGACGCTGGTTTCTTAGTCACAGACTTCTCTTCGATGATTGCAGCCACGATGGCCCTTAGTCATAACGACTTAACACCTGCTAACTGGTTAAAGTCCGGCACGCGCCAAATGCTCGCATGAGACTGATATTGAGATGGGGAATCGGGAATCCGGAGTCGGGGGAAATGGTGAGGTGAAGATGGGTTTATGGGTTCATTAGTAGGCGGAGAAAAACATACACAAAACGAAAATCAAAAACGAAATTTTGTTCCTGGCAAAGGATCTTTGTTTTCGTTTTAACTTTGATTCTTTTCTTCTTTTTTTGATTTGGCACACAAAATTTTGGCTTTCAATTTCGCTTTCTCTTTTACGATCTTCTTGATTTACGTTTTTTGTAATGGTTTACTTAACATCTTTTGTTCCAAATTTGGTTTCATTTACTTTCGTTTTCATTTAAGAATTGTTCGAGATAGAGAGAGAGAGAGATTTTGTTTGGATATTTTTTTTATTGATTTGATTTGATTTGATTTGATTTGATTGACTTGATTTGATCTGAATTGATTTGTTGCAAAAAAACTTCCCAACTACTTACTGCTGGCATAAGTTGATCTGTACTTCTGACGCGAGTCACCTTGTTTTTGGTAATCATCTTCTTGACGCAGGTCTCCACCTGGACGTTCCACTTCATGAAGGCCACGTAGGCGATGTAGATGGTGAACAGGATGAGGGCCTCCCACCAGAAGATGCGGTTGTCCCGGAAGAAGTAGATCAGCACCAGCAGGCTGATGCTGTAGAACGAACAGTCGCGGAACAAAGGCCACCAGGTGAGCGACAACACCGTCTTCGAGAAGAGGGCACACATCCCAATTACGAACAGGATGTTGAACACTGCGGAGCCAACGATCGTACCAATGCCCACGTCGTCGAACGACACGAAAACGCCGATCACGCTGGTGAAGAGCTCGGGGGCACTGCCACCCGCCGCCATAAAAGTCGCGCCGGCCACATCGTCCGTGATGCCGAGCTTTTCAATGATTACGTCAAGGGAAGGCACGAAGAATTCATCGCAGACAATGGCCAGCGCCACAAACATATATATCACACCTATGATGTGCAGGATGACAGCGCCGTTCTCAAGCTGTTCTTTCGTGAATAGGTCTTTCGGGAATAGTGGCGTTTTCGTGGAGGTCGAGTTATCGTTGTGCGTGTCTGCAAAGAGAGAGAATGGTTGAACAAAATGGTTAGTCCTTATATCTTTTTAAATTTTAATTAGGTTTTTATTAGATGGAAAGCGAAAAAAAGAATGTTTCAATTTAAACAATGTCCATTCCTTGAAAAGCCATTGAGTATTCCGGTTGCCAAAGCCCTAATGAGTTACAAGAATGATTTTAACAATAATAAAATGTTTACAAAAAAATTATAATTGATTCCATAAATTAAGTAATGATTTTTTTTCATAAAAACTATTAAACTGGTTTCAATTTTATATGTGAATGTCAGTTGAATAAAAGACAATTCTCTGAAATAATCTACATTTAAAAACAATAAAAAAAAGGATGTGAAGGTCAGTTAAATAATAGACAATTCTCTGAAATAATCTACATTGAAAAACAATAAAAAAAAGGTTTCCCGAAAAAGCGCTCTGTGGATAATATCTTTTCCAACGAAAAGTGCATATTGGCCAGAACGAAAACATTTGTTGAGGATTACCAGGAACTGTTCACTCAGTTGGTTGATAAACTAGGATTGACTGAATTAATCCTTCATCGAAAGCTTACTGATTTAAATCAAGAAATTTAAGAGTTATGAAAAAATTGTTCTCAAACTGAAGCTCCACACCCTAAAAGCAAACTTAAATACATTTTCCACTCGATTGGCTCTTCATTCCCAACTACTGAGGAAGAAAACGTGCTGAAACTAATAATCGCACTGACGAATTTGTCATTTTGTCGTCTGGCATTCTGACCTTTTCGATTGCTACCTGTATCTTCCAAATAGCAGATACATACTCGTATCTCTATCTGCGATCCGATACATCCATCCCCAATTAGACATCCTCAATTAAGTGTCTCGACCTTTTGGAAATCGCTGGCAAAACTCCCTTGTCGCACGCGGTGCCTTTGGTGAGCGATTTTCATGGCAATTATTTTGTAAATTATGCAGCGCATTTTGCAACAATTAACAAATTGCACTTATTCGACGCCGAACCCGCTGACTATGTTGATGATGATGTTGATGGTAAATGTTTGCAATGTAAATGTTTAACAATCATTTTGCGCTGTGTGAGCAATCATTTTGGCGCGTGTGCCAAGTAAATAATTAACGCGGCTTTAATCGCTCGTGGCTCCGATCGCCGATCCACTGATTCATGTAATTTACACAGTTCTAATAAGTCAGCTTCGATGTCTTTGTGCGCCAGCCACGAAGCCCCGCATAAATCATCTGGAAACTTTTATCTGCCATCTAACTTTGTTTATTTTTAGGTGTTGTTTTCCAATCGCGAAAAATGTGTAATGGGGCAAGTCCAAGATTGTGGAAAGGAAAGGGTCAAAGTGTCGTAAAGGCATACGCTACAAAAGTCACATAATACATTTTACAAAAATAAATAGGTTCTTTCAATATCTTATAATGAAATATAAAAGAATATTTCAAGGACCTCCCCTTCAGCTTTTCAATATAAATAAATCAAAACAAAACTGTTTAGAAGACAACACGATTTAGTTGTTTTGATAAGTTGATTGAAATAATTAAATCCATGATATATAGATATTATATGTAAAGGGGAACCCTATTTCCTACCTCTATGTAATAATAGAGTCGGGATTGACTCACTTTGTTTTCAGTTCGAGGCGGCAGACCGAACAGACAGACGGATGGTAAAGAAATCTGCTCTATAACCGGTTTTCAGACTCCCTGCTCCCTGCTAATTTGCATGCATTTAACGGACCCACCGCGCCCCACCCACTCGACCCACCCACTTTCCGTTTGGGGGCGGTGGGCGGTGCGACAGCGAGCGTGAGCCACAAATGAATGATTCTTATGAATCACTGGGCAAATGCTTAATGAGTGACGACGACTTAGCCGATGTCTCTCGAAAGCTGATTGAATTCAACCATTTTTCAAGGGGCTACCGACTTTTGGGTTGAGCGTAATACGGGTGGCAATATCCCCTCCTGTTAACACTCGTTTCGAAGCGGGGGCGCCCTGCATATCAAACTGGATCATCGCCACTCGAAACATATAAATGAGCAGACTTTCTGACGGATTACTCATGCAGTTATGAGTTGGTCAATGGGTTTGAAGCACTGCGAAAGCTTTGAAGAGCAATTGAAAACGTTGAAAATTGGTTTAAATGCGCAAAAATAGGTGCACAAATTCCAAAAATAGGTACGTGTCATTGCAGAAGTTGAGGTATAATAATTCAACCAGATGATAAGCTATAAAAAATGTCGGTTACGTGATGCCAGCCAAAATCCGATATCTTCATTAATGATGCTTTTATTATTGTGATAAAGTTTTTATCCGACTGATAAAAAACTTCATTGGGAGATTTGTTTACATATTTTATGATGCATAAGTGTGAAAAAAACGCAAAAAAATGAATATATAAATGCAATTTAGTTGAAGTTATTTAACTACTATATTAAAATACGTTTTTTGGCCTTTTATGGACAACTTTAAATGTTCGAAATTTGCAGACAAAAGTTTCATTATTTAGATTATTTTTATGCATCCTAAATTAATTAGTAAACATACTAAATTTAATACAAACATGAAAGATTTATTGATTGTTGTAATAAATACATTTTGCGTCATGAAACTTGGAACTACCCATTAAATTATATTTCCCAAAAAAATTTGTAAAACTCATAATGCTTTTGGTTTTTAGGTCTAAAAATAAATAATATTTAATAATTAAAGAGTGAGACGAAGCAAAACAATAAGTTATATTTAATTGCTCATTGAGATCTAATTCTCTTGTGTATTTTCTGTTAATACAAAACGTGTAGATTGTTTTCAAGACATATTTTTGCGGGGAACTGATTACGCAATCGAGTCAATATATCGAGAACTTATTCCATGTGCGGCGCTGCACGAGCCCCTCGAAGCAGAGTTGGTCATCAAATTGTTATTGGTTCACTTGACGAAGGTAACAAAATAATGACTATTAAATTTTATTTATTATTTATTGTATGTGATTATTTATTGCGATTGCTATTGGCATTGCTTTTCGTGGTTGTGGATGTGGATGTGGGCGTCTGCCTAGCAGGCTGTCTGCTCTCCTCATAAAATATAATACTTGGATCGGATTGGGGAGAGGGGGAAACCAGTTCCGAGTGCCTCGATTGAAATGGCACAACAATTTGACTAAGCGACTGCAGTCGTCGTCGTATTCAGAAAATCTCAGAGCACATATGGTAGAGATGGAATCGTGAGCCATCTCAATAATAATTAGCATTAATGTGTAAACAGGTGAGTTGCAGGCAGTAAAAGTCTTTACGGGAAAAGATATTCTCATTAGCAATCGGGTTTTTTTTGTTTATCACAGAGACATTTGAAAAGAGCTGACGGTGATATCACCCAGACAAATAAATATTGTTTGTTAACATTATACACATGATAAGAGAGAAGAATACAAGTTAAACCAGCACACTGATAAGACAATTTATATTAATTAAAATGCAATAGGGGTTTTATATAAAGGTTTGAGGATTAAGTGGGTAATATAGGCAGTAACTTAAAGAAAGTTTTAGGAAATTAAATATTTTTTTTTATTCTATAAATTCAAAACTAAGTTGAGTTTGAAAGAGTGGTTTCAAGAAACAGTTCGGTTTGAAAATAAAATTATTTGTTTCCATTTTAGTAGATTGATACTAATCTCTTAACTTGAGTTTAATATTTAAAAATCTTTTTCTTGATTTTAAAATATCATTACGAAGGAGTTCACTCTGCAAAATGAAACCATTGCTAGAGAACATTTCCAAAAACTTTTTTATGCTAGTTTTGAGTTCTATCTTCCACTAATTTGAGGCTTCAGCTCACGTCGCCATCTCGATGTGGCATTCAAGCCCACTCACACAGAGCTCAGTTTCGCATACGTGATATGCGTCATGCGAATGAGACGCGTTGTTTGCGGAGCACCCGGAGTCGTAATCAGAGAACAAAGCCGCAGTAGAACGCTCTGCGGTTGTCGCCAGTCGCGGTCCGAATTCGCAATCAGTTGGCAAGTGAGAAGCGATCCATTCAGATGGCAGCCGCAGTGATACCGAAATTCGGCCAGGAGGAGCTCTTCGTGAGCCGCGCCACAATTCAGTTGCAGTTGCCGCAGGGCGGAGCCGTTTCCAATCCCATCTTCGAGTGGCGCACACAGGTGGTCACGCCCCCAGCGGTGGTTGCCGCCCCCGAGGAGCAGTGCATTAAAGGCCGCCACCAGCAGACCACGGAGGCTGCCACGCCCCTCAGCAATTACTACACGCCTCCGCGAATCTTGGGAACGGAGGCGAAGCGCAAGAACCTGCCCCAAACGATGAGCAACTTCTTCGAGGCGGAGCGCTACTCCAGCGCCTGGAATCGCGTGACCAAGTAGCCACCGAAGTCCCCCAAAACCATAGCCCATAACCCATAATAACCCACAACCCCAGAGAACCCGGAGGACCCGGAGAATCCCACGAGGAAGGGTGGCCTAATCGATTAACCCATTAAGTGCCAAGAGCTGCAGGATAGTGAAATTCCATTCCGTTGCCAAAAATTCCAATTCATGCCCCGAAAATTGCTAACTCGAGTTCGTGAGGAGAGGGTGGAGTTGAGTTAGGATAGAGAAATGCGGGCCTAGAACGAAACCCAAACCAAGTATATATAGTAAGCATCCCATGAATATTTATGTGCCAGCACACCATACCCTTCGTTAAACCCTGATAATGCAATAAAAGTATTATTCGATAGATAAAGCGAAATTCTTTCACCCAAGGGGTTAAACTTCATTAGGAGCCACCGCCGCCGATAAGCTGTGGGCCAAATGACTTTGGGACTTGGCCACGGATTCTCGTTTCCTTTTCGCAACGTCATCAGTGTGCATAAATCACGGCTGAACAAACGCACGAAAATTACAGGAACCAGTAAAAGTAAGAGTCAAAGAAAAATCGCACGCCTCTCCGGAAGTTCATTATGGTAGCTCAAAGCGGAAGTGCCAGCTACACACTCACACTCACACACATACTTACACTCACAATTAGGTTGTGAGAAACACGAATTGGTGTCCGCGGGCTTTCACGCTGTTAATGTGACCCGCGGAAAAGTGCTGCCATGAAAGCAGCTGCTAATTTATCAGAGGGACAGGGACAGAGACGGCGCTCTGTGGCACGGGCCAAGAACCGAAAGCCAAAGCCAAAAACGCTCCGCCGAGAGCGGCAAGAGTTTCAAGGTGGCTGGCGAATCGATTAGCCAGCCAAACAGCTAAACAGCCAAAATCAGAGCAAGCCAAACGTGCAATGCACATGCAAGCAAGCCGCTGCCATTGGCAAAAGCTGGGAAACACTGAGAGAAACTGTCACTAGGGTTAGTCATCTTTGTTTTGACATGCGCTACTATCTCGGGTCTAGAAGTATGACAAGAGGTATTATCGGTTTTATGACGCTTTAAAGGGGAACTCAACCGCATTCACCAAAATTTAATGAATCATTCTTTTAAGTATCTAAGCAAGTCAGTTTTAATCGTTAGACTGCAGGTTATAGCCCTCATTAAAAATCTTCCATGAAAATAACAAATAAATTATTTTTTATTTTGACCTTTAATGACTAACAAGTTAGAATAAGAAACGTTAAATAGAGTACCTTTATTAAACCCTTTTGCTGAAAAATAGAATACTTGCAATATTTAAACAAATGTGAATGTGAATATAATATAGTGATAATTATGTATATAATAAGACAGAGCATATTTAAATATACATTTTAAATTTAAATTGTATACAAAAATGTGAAGAAATATAATTACATGTAATTTAATAAGGTACAAAAAAATCTTAAAGTGGATTTCAAAAAATGAATTAAATAATATTAATAATAATAATAAAATATAAAATTCAAAATAAAAGTCTCAACAAAAAAGGCCTTTCAATGTAAATAGAATATTTTGGTTGCCTGTATATTTTTCGGTCAATGGTAATATTTAATATCCAACTGTTAACCAGCTAAGGTTTTTCGCAGTGCATGCAGGGTTGTCAAGTGGCTGTTGAATCAATGCAGGCTGGGAGAAGAGCCTCGTTCGTCCTGGCGCAGTGTGCTCGATATGCGGTGCGGGTGGATGTGGTTGTAGATGTGATTTCGAGTGGGGAAATATAGATGAAAAGGGGGAGGGAGGGGGAGTGGGGCACTTAAGGATTGCCATAGAAGGTTTATCACGACTATGAGCAGCTGTCAATGAAGGTTGCTCGGCGGCAGTCCTTGCCACCTTCGAAAGTTACGGCGACCATAACTTGGCACAGTTTTCGGCCCGAAAGCAAACAGACACTCACACACATACATATACACACACACACATACACACATGAGTGGGCCGCATTTTAGCTAATCAAAAGCGGCTCTATCCCCAGGGCAATCCCGATGTGGACCAAGCCCAAAGTGCCAACATTATAATGCCTGTCCCGGCTCTGTGTGCTTGACCCAATTTAGCCTGGAACTAAAACCCAAAACCCCCAAAAACCCCGAAAGCGAAATGGGAAACCTTTAATTTAATGGCAAATGTTTCTTAAACTAATTTTCGCACTTATGAATTTATGGCAGTTGTTAAAGTCTGCCAGGCGTTCGTTATAATATTCAAAAATGCGTTAAAAAAGTTTAGCCTCACACTCTCTGTGGTTGTTACCTAAATTGGATACTTGAAATCTAAGCACCATTTTAAGTTTATTAACTTTCCAGAATCGCCTGAATTACCCACATATATGAGCAATACAAAGAGTTTTGAGAAACTGATGAGTCAACAAAGGTTTTTCTAGACCGAAATTATAATGTAAGCGTTTAAAGCATCGAGGGTTTTCCCGGTTGATTTATTAATATTCGTCTTGCATAAAAACTGATTTACATATATCTCTTGCATTTAAAAACTGTTTCCTAAATGATGTACTGAGAAAACAAACATAAATCCACGAATCTACCAAAAACAATACAGAAACATTAATTTATCATGCATTATTATTAATGCCAATAAACACACAAACTCCGGAACCAAAACAGAACATAAATAGCTCCTCGTTTTAATCTGATTTGCAGGAGACATAATCTTGTTATTGGCTTTAGGTGGCTTTCGGTGTGAACTGATGCCTATCTCCCACTAATTTGAGAATAATTTGCTTCGTAGCTGTTAAAACCAGTCATAAATATGTTGGAGTCTCTAGAGCTAGACATATTAACATAATAAAAACAAACAAAACACGAATCTAGTTTGCTTTCGAGAAAGATTCGCTTACGCAGTTTGCAGTGAATGACACTCGATATCTTTGAGAGAGACAGACGACAATCGGCCACGGATTGCATTTGCTAACCGGTTTTCTTAGAGCCCGACCGCAAAAACCTCCGGATTGCATGAATCACGGCGATAAGGGCGATTCATTGATATCCCCGCGGGCGAGCGGATCGTGATTCATTCGCGATTTAAACCCAAGCTCAGACTGTGTGGGATATCCAATCCTGTGGGTTCACCTGCTGCCGGCTGAGTCAGTTGCAGCTGGCTGGGCTTTGCTTTAAATTAATGCCAAATCACTGCCACGAAAAACGTGGCCAAAACAGACGGGGCGGCGCAACATTCAGACAGCAGGGGCAATTAGTGGCCACAAGGATTGGAAGGACACTGGCGATTGTGAGCGGAGGGAGGCGGTTTTGGGGGTTTGGGGGGTATGTCAATAATTAAAAAGGCGGCCAAATGTTGTCATTTCAGTCCGAAAAACCCCGCAAAAGCACGGCAACCGAACAGAGAGGCAGAGAAATATACACAGTAAACTGAATTCGCTGGGCGGCAGGAAGGCAAAGGACTTCCTGCCACCCACACAAGCTCGTTTTTCTTTCTTTTTTTTTCGTTGTTTTTTTGTGGTTTTTCATCGGCGTCTCTCGTGGCTTTTAGCATGCAACTCACACGTCCTTGCCAGGACGCTTTTGTTGATGTTGTTTGTGTTTTTGCTATTTTGTTATTTTGTTTTTGTTGTTTCTGTTGCTGTTACTGGCATTTTGATTTATCGATTTAAATTTGTGTTTAAGGCGCTGTGCGTGCTCGTGCTGCCTTCTTCTTCTTTCCTTCATTTTCGTCTTCAGCTTTTCCGACTTTTCCAACTCGTTTTCCGCCGCCGTTTCGGTTTTGGTTTCGTTCCTTTTTTTTTTTTTTTTTTCGTTCGCTTTCTGTCTCTCTGTTTTTGTTTTTCCCAATCATTTTTCAAAATGTTTGCATACACACACACACCCGCTCGAAGTGAGACCAAGTTTTTGGCCGCCTGCCGTTTAGGTCGAGGTCTTTACTTAACTTTATATTCTTCTTCCTTTCGGCTGTTTTATTTTTTCGTTTTTTCAGGGTCTGAACCACCCACAGAAAGAAGGAAAAAAAGCGCCGACGTTGAGAGCCTGAAACGTCGTTAACAGCCACGTTTGCGTGTGCCTCACACAGACACACACCACTACACGCAATCACACACACACACACACTGGCTTACATACTTATACTATATTTCAGCCAAGAGTGTGTGTATTTTTGTTGTTATTATACGAAGAGCGCGCTCGCAATTTGGGTCGATGGTAAAATAGAAAAGCCAAAAGCAAGGCAAATACACACACACACTGTCAGGAATTTCTATATGTACCACACATATATATATTTATATGTATAAAATTTCGAACAAAGGTCGCTGAAGAGAAGACCAGTGCACATTTATATAGAGGTGTACGTACGTATGAATGTATGAGTATGTGTGTGTGATTGTTTGTGTGTGTGTTCATGTGTGTATGAGGGTGACCTGAGTTATGTGCGCGTTCTGTCTGCATTATTTTCGCCGTGTGTATGTCCTCCGCTTTCTATTTTTTATACCGTCCACTTTTTTCCCGCTGGTTTCATGTTAATTGCTCGTGGCCCTCTGCTTGTTCCAGCAATCTGCGTTAATTTTAAAGCCTGATTTACACACAACAACCATTCGTGGTTGTACAACCGCTCGTTCGTTGCAAGCACTCACACAAATACCTACAAAATACCCGTGCAATTGCCGCTTGCAATTCGCAGTTCGCTGTTTGCAGTTCGCAGTTCACAGGACACGTTCCGCCTTCGAGTAGTTTTGTGTGTCACGAGCTCCGGATTCGAGAGGGGTTTATTTGTATTTGAGGAGGGCAAACAAAGCGCCGGATTGGATGGGATTTGCCGGGTTGGCTTATCGGGGCTTGACATCATCAACATCTATAGCCATCCGGAGATTTTCCCGGTTGACATCATCCCCCCTCCACCGAACACACCGAACAAAAAAAGGACAAAGGAGTGAACTCTAGTCGATCACCGTTTTGCAGCAAAACTTTTTGTCCCTCCCCCTTTTCCCTCATCTCCCCTTTTTGGCGGGGCAGCCACTTTTTTGACAGGACTTTGCCTGGCATGGTTGAGTCATTAAAATGAGAAATGGCTCCGGGCTCCGTGTGCAATGTTGAGTTTAATTGTTGGCCAAAATGTGACTGCGCCGCTCACGGGAGCAGAAGCGCCACATTCGCAATGCGAGGTTGAATCAGGGGCAAAAGGTAAAAAGGTTGCAAGGGTAACGGAAAGGTACGGAAAGGTGGAAAAGTGGAAAACTGGAGACAAGGGCCGCAGCTTGACTTACGCTGATGTGGCACAAAAACAAAAAAGATATATATCTATATGTATGTATTTCACACATATGCCTGTGTGTCCTGGGCACACATTAACACGTTCTCGAGCGCATACAGAAATATATATTTCATCGGCCAAACTGCAGACAGTTGTTCCATTACGTTCATTTGCAGTCGCTTATGCTGCGGCCGGGGTAATTTATGTTCTCCACGTTACGTATACGCAGCGAGGCTCAGCGCAGCGCATATGAGTTTTTGCGGGAATTACTGTGGTTATTTCGCCTCGAGCGGCGGACACTTCATACGTTGCGTATGCGTAATGTAAGCACATAAATATCGCTCATACGCAGTGTGGTTTGCGGAATAATTGCCATGCACGCGAGAGCTGCCAACGTCTCACTTCCTGTTCTCAACGGCGGCAGAATATCATACGATCCTTAATACAGCGCAGTTTAATTCCACTTTTATTGCGTTATAAATTGATGAGAAATTGCCGTGATAAATTTAAAATTTGTTTGGTTTTATCTTAAGCCATTTGGGGAATAATGCAATTAATCATTTTTAATTGGGGTAGCTTAAACAGTTTAGACAAGCTATATCGATTAAAATGTAAAAAATGGAAGCCGAATACTGATAGAAAAAATACATTATTTATTAAAAAATAATGTATGAAAATGCCAACGAATCACCTGAGTCTGATTTCCTTTTTTTTATAACTGTGAATTTGCCTTTTCAATTTGGTATTTTTAATTTTTAAAATGGCACTCAACTAATTTAATGAAATTCATCTTATGCGGGGAGGGATAACGTATACGCCTCGTGGGCGAACCAAATATGTACCTTTGCCCCCATTAAACATTTGTCTGATTCCGGGCTTTGAACTTTTATTCGCTATCATTTTTCAGCCCCCACACACTCGATCCCCACTCATCGATGCCCCATGCAAGGGAAATTCAATTTGTCTTCGCTGAAAAGTTTTACGCAAGAAGAGGGAGAGGCACCCAGCCCCAAAAACTTGAAAGGCTCATTTAAATACAAATGCCATTAGTCAGGCGCCCACTCGCAGATGCAGGAATTCCACATACGCGAAGGAACTTGGGAAATTGGAATTGGGAGGAAAAAAACAGGAAGAGAATATAGAAAGAGGTAGAGGAGACTCACCATTGATACCTCGTTGATTGGCCGCATTATCCTCGTCGGAGCCGGGAACTGCATTGGCGTTGAGCTCTTGGTCGGGATCCTGGTCCTCCTCCAAGCCGAACATCTGCTCCCCGGACTGGAAGGGGTACATAATCTCCGCCTCATCCTCGCCGGATGTTTGCGATGGGGCACCCACTCCGCCCAACACATCGTTGTGGTTTTGGTTCTGATTCGGACTGTTGTTGTTGCTGTTGCTGCTGCTGCCGCCGAAGTGTTGCTTCGCCGACTTTGGCTTGGCGGCATCTCCGAATCCCAATCCCTGGGTGGTCAAGCAGATCAGCAGGATGCTGTAGATCGGCAGGCGAAGGCAGCGATTCCTGCAGCGATTTCTGCTTGGCTGGAGCTGCTGCAGCTCCACTGAGGCACCACGAGATGTTGCTGTTGCAGTTGCAGTTGCAGCGGCGGGCATTGCAGGTGTTGCTGGTTGCACCACCGCCGTCGTTCTGCTTCTTGTCTTTGCTTTCGTTATTGTTGTTGTTGTTGTTGTTGCTGATATTGTTTTTAATGTTAATAATACTAAGCGCTTGAAAATATTTACACACTCGTCCAGTATCGTAGCTTGGTGTTGCTTGTTGTTGTTGTTCTCCGCCTGGGAAAAGGGGGCGTGGCCATTGAATCGTAGGCGCCCCCTTCGCCGGCGACTATTGAAGTCTATCGTTGTGCTGCTGGTGCAACCTACTGGCAACATGTTGTCGCTGTGGCACCAAGTGTGGTTGTTGCTGTTGCGGCTTCTTGTTGTTGCTGCTGCTGCTGCTGTTGCAGTTGCTGCTGCTGTTGCTGCAGTTGCTGCTGCTAAGGCTCCATGATCTTTAGCTGCTCCTCCCGCTGCTGCTGTTGCGATTGCTGGTTGCTGCCTCTGCTGTTGCTGTTTGCTGCATGTTGTTGGCTGCAACATTGGACCCGTTGGATTAATGTTGTTTATTTTGGTTGTTTTGGTTTTTGGTTATCTTTTCTTTTATTTTGTTTGCTTTGGTTTCGTTTGGTTTGGTTTGGTTTGGTTGGCTTGGTGTTATCGTTTCACTTGCAAAACCGTTTGTTATCGTTGTACGCTTTTGATTTAGACTGAGTTTAGGTTAGAGTTTCTCGCTTGCTGTCAGATCTTCGCGATCCATTTGTATCACACAACTTTATATATACACTATACATTAATAACAATTAACACGGAACGGAGAAAGCGTAGAAATTTCTTTTTGGGAGCGGGCGCGCGGATTCAGGTTGCTGCTGCTGTTTCCGCTGGTGTTGCTGCTACTTCCGCTGCTGGCGTGGCTAACAGAAGCCTCGGCATTTCCATTTCCCCTAGATTTTCACACACACACACAAACACACACATACACACACCCCCGCCTCTTGTGGTATTTTTCACGCCTCCTCTTTCGGGTTTTTCCTTAATTTTCTTCTTTTTTTTCTGCTTCCTTTCACGGCTCCGTCGGTTTTTTGCCACTGGTGTTGCTGCTGCTGCGCTTGCTGCTTTTGCCGCTGCTAGTATTCCTGGCCATTTGTCTGAGGCTTTTCCGCTTTTCCGACTCGCCGTCTCGTGTTCCTGTGTGCGTGCTCGAGTGTGGAAAAGTTTCCCTGAGTGGCCGCTGCGAAATCTGGAGCTGGCTCTCGATATCGATATCGGTCTGCAGCCGGAGCTGGACTACATCACGCTGCGCACTCCGCTGCCGTTGTGAGCGCTGGCTGGCCGAGCCCGATTCTGATACTAGTTCTGATTACGGTTCTGGTTCTGCCTCTGAGCCTGGCCAGGATGTGGATGCCTGGAAAACCGACAGCCGACAGCCGACAGTCGACTGCCGAGGGCCCAAAGCCGAGCACCGAGCACCGAGCGACGAACAGGATGCGAGGTCCTGGAAGCTCGGCTTTCACTTCCAAGAACTTCCTGAGGAACGAGAGGGAGAGAGAGTTGTGACTGCTGCGCCTGCGTCGCTTTTGTTTACATTTTCGAAGACTTCGCTCCACGGCTGTTAAGGCTCAGAGGATGGCTGTCTGTGGGGAGATAGTTGCAAACAAATATTTAAAGGGTTTTCATTTAATCTGTTTTTGTTTTTACATAAAAATAATTTCATAATTTAATAACATAATATGATTCTTATGTATATTTAACAACATCACACAGCACACTCGCAAATTTCACTTAAAGTAGGTATTTCTCATACACACATTACCTAAGCAAAAGAAAGTTGTAAATATGGTTTAAGGCAATTTCATTTAAAAATTGTTTTACAAAATAATATTTTTTCTACCAAAAAAATGTACGTATATTTTTATTTTCACAATTTATTTTAATCAAATTTATAGTTGAATTTGTTTTAAAGAAATTTTAAAGGTTTTTAATATCTTTTTTATAAGTTTTTGGGAGCTTTTTATTCTTTCAAAAATGGTTTAACATTTTTAAGAGCAATTTTAAACCACACAATTTCTTTGGTTAGCGTGATTTACTAGTTACCAAAAATGGTAAAATTCTTTACAAAAGCCATGGCACACTCTTTGGGTTAACTTTTCTCTTCGCCATTTTCCAGGCTCTCTGTCACGCAATTTTCCGCGCTCTCCATCCGAATTTTCCCGTTCCTCTCTGGATGCCGCTTATCTTGTAGGCCTTATCGCTTTTCTCACGGCTTTTTTCTTTGCTTTTGCTTTCGCTCGCTGCTGTGTTTGTTGTTTTAGCTTACGCTTACAATTTTTACTTTCATTTAGGTTTAGTAGGTGACTCCGCCACCGCACCCCCGCCCCGCCCCATTTTGCCCGCCCCATTTTGCCCGCCCCCTTACCCCGCCCACTTTGCGTTTTTTACTGCTTCTGGCTGAATGTGCGGTTATGTTCATTGTTATGCTTTGAGTAGCTCACGCTGCTTCTAGTTCTAGTCCTTCCTCGTCCTTCCTGCTAATCCCGAACCCCCTCCCTCTTTCCGGGATCTTTTTGTCCTTTTTTCTCTGTTATTTTTAACCGTTGGCCAGAGTTTGGCCAAGAATTCAACCGTGTGGCTTTGTTATTAATTATGTTTTGGCCCCGCTATGTTTTGTGTTGTTATTTTTCTTTTTTTTTTAGAAAATTGCGTAACATTTTTGCGCTTTCTTTGCTTTACATAATTGCCCCATCAATTTGAGGGAACCAGCGGACATTTGATATTTTCTCTACAGTTTTGTTCTGAAGAACTTGAGACTATCTTTTGTAGTCTGTCAACAGGAAATGGTATTAGGACATTCAAAAATGTCCTAATTTTTTGAAAACCCTTATGATACTTATAAATTATTAAAACTTTGTTAAACCTTAAAAGTACGTTGGTCTTTTATCTACAAATTACACTTAAGAATTTTAGCTTTTGTTTAAATTAGATTTTTAATTTTTGAAGCTATCTGTATACTGTATTTTTATTTCATCGAATTTAAATTAGCTTTCCATTCTCAGCGGATCACCGCTTTATATAGTTTGTGTAAAACCATGTCGGCGAGAAAGCGAGCTTGGCACCCAAAAGTAAGCGCCGGAAAAGCCACCAAGATGCCATTAGTCGTGCTTTGAGTTAATCCCGAAATAACAGGGGCGAAATGGGGGCTCCTGGCTAATTGTTATATCATTTGCGCTGGGGAAACTTTAAAGGGGCGGGGCCGCTTTAAGAACGGGGTCGAACTCGTGACAGCCGAAAGTCTGACTCTTAAATTTACTTCTTGACTTGACCAGCCAACTAAGAAAGAAGGCAGCCAGAAAGCATGAAGAAACTCTGCACACTCACACACTCAGCCACACACACTTACACACACCGAGTAACACACAGTAACAAGGCGAAAGCAACGTTTTGACCTCTTTATGAAAAAGGCCTCAAGCACGAGAAGGCTCAGACTCACACACACCAACGCACAACAAGCACGAACGGGGGCTGCCATTAATGTTTCTGCACTCACACAGACGACCGAAAAACGCTTTGCCTGCCACCCCCGCCCCGCCCCTCGACCGCCCTCCCTTTTATTGCTTGATTATATAAAAATTGGCTTTTGTATTTGATATTTTTTGTGTACCGCTCTGGCGATTCTTTTGATTTCTATCCTTCAGCCAGTACTATTTGGATTTCGATTCGCTGAGGTTTTTAATTCGGTTTAAGTTTTTCCTTTGATTTCGAACTGCAATAAATTTTCCAACACCTCGCGCACACACCAACACACAAAGACACACACACACCCGCACACTGGTGCAGAGCACACGGTTAAAAGTTTCTGCACACACATACACAGAGCAGGAGGATTTTTGGACGCACCATCCGCTCGTTGGTCCTGCGAGGATGTTGTCAGCACAGCGCCCGAAAACGTTTTGGGGTTCCTGGCAGGCGGCCACGAGTCCGGAGGCCACACACGAATGCCGTGGAAGGACGAAAGGATCCGAGTCGACCCGAAAGTGCCAAGAGTTCCAGTCGCAAGGATGGGGCATTCAGCTGGCCAGGATCGAGTTTGCTTGTCCTTCTTTTATTTTTTTTTTTTTTGCTTTCAGTATCAGTTTCGGTTTCGTTTTCGTTTTAATTTTCAGCTGTTGTGTCTCGCTGGACATCGTTTCGATTTGTAATTAATTTACGATGACTTCCGCTCGCACATATTTGCATTAACCCATCGACATCAGCAGGACGAGCATATCCTGCCTGCCTGACTGGCTGGCTGGCGCTCTCGGGTTTCCAGCTTTTATTGCATACTTTCGGGGGTACGAGAGCTGGAAAAAGAAAGAAGAGAGAACGCGCAGCTGTTCGTCGCTCCAGGTGGTCTCCCTCTCCCTCTTCCTCTTCCTCTCTTTTTTCCTCCCACTCAAGCAAACGGCAAAAGAAAGAAAGAAATAAACGTTTGTGCATGCGTTACAACCACTCACACATACACACACACACAGAGACCCTAAACGAATACACACATACACTAATACACACACAGATACGCAGACAGTCGCTCTCCACGCACAATTGTATTTTGATTATGCCCGGTTTTGGTACGCCGCATACCTCGGATACTTCTACGCACAACAATGCCAAATCCCCAGCCCCCAAACCTAGTAGCTCCCTATCTACCCAACGGATTCCTCCCCCCTCTACCACCTCCTCCACCTCCCCCTCCCACCCAGAAGAACCCAATCCAATCCAAGCCAACCCATCGCATCCCATTCCATCCCTTTTGCCATCCCATTGATAGCCGCCAAGTTTGCCGTCACATCAAATATTTATGGCGACAAGAGAGCGAAACAAGTTGGAACGAAATAGTCGAAAATTCGGAATTTAAAATTTAACTACGAGGATTCCGCAAATATCTGCTTGAAAAACGAATTAAAGTCTGAAGGAAAATCAATTTCAATTGCTTTATCATACAAATTCAGTTAACTTTGACCCAAACTACGATAAATACTCGTGAAATTATATTAAAAACGGATTTTCGTGCTCGCATATTTTAAGTACTTTTATGGATAAATTCCTTGCAATTTCGATGGAAAATTTTACCTATTGGAAATATTTTATTCAATAGACTTTTTGTAATACTTTTTTTAAGTCAATATCTTTTTCATAAGATTGGGTTGAGTGGAAATAACTAAATCGACCTTTTCTTTTATTTTACACACGCCATTGAAAATGTTTTAAAACTGGTTACGCTTTCAAGCTGAAAAAATCAGAAATGTATAAATCGCAACTCACCTTAAGCCATTCATAATTAAATTATAACCACTTACACAACCAAGACAATGGCTGAAACTTGATAAGGGTAGGCTATAAATACCCGTGGAAGGATCCAACGTTATTCTCATTACCAAAATGAATCTGAGACTAACAGCAGTGCTATTTTTGGTCTGCAACTTCGGCGCTTCATGGTCTTTTAGAGCTCCAACAGGAAAATAGAACGCTGCATCGTTTGAAAAAATTAAATGTAATGGTTAAATAATAAATGTAATCAGAATTATTTTCTTTTTTAACCGGTGACTGGTATTAAATTGTAATTTAAACTTGTTAAAGTCATGCAAATACAAATACGTACTAAAAAAATGTGTTGTATTTTGGTTTTTAAATACACAATTTTTAAATAAGTTAAGACGTTAATTGTCATTGTCAGACTTAAGAGTTATTACAGCAGAAAGAACAGGATCATATTTGTGACGTCCAACTTTGCGCCTTACTTTTTCTTCGATATGACAGTCTTAATCTCCAGAAGTGCAAACTTTTGGGCAATGGCTTTGCCATTGGGGCTCTGCACTAAAAGGTAAATACTCGAAAGGACTCTGATTTTCCTCCTCGAATCACTCCGGTCGAAAATTATGGTCCATCACGTATTAAAGTCTGAAGGAAAATCAAATTCAATTGCTTTATCATACAAATTCAGTTAACTTTGCCCTAAAATCACGATAAATACTCGTAAAATTATATTAAAAACGTATTTTTTATGGGTAATAAATTCCTTGCAATGTCGATTGAAAATTGTACCTATTTGAAATATTTTATTTAATAGACTTTTTGCAATACTTTTTTTGGTCAATATCTTTTTCATAAACTTGGGTTGAGTGAAAATAACTGAATCAACCTTTTCGTTTAGTTAACACACGCCACGTGTGTTTTAAAACTGGTTACGATTTTAAGCTGAAAAAATCAGAAATGTAGAAATCGCAACTCACCTTAAGCCATTCATAATTAAATTATAACCACTTACACAACTAAGACAATGGCTGAAACTTGATAAGGGTAGGCTATAAATACCCGTGGAAGGATCCAACGTTATTCTCATTACCAAAATGAATCTGAGACTAAAAGCAGTACTATTTTTGGTCTGCAACCTCGGTGGATCATTGTCTATTAAACTTAAATTAGGATAATAGAACGCTGCATCGTTTGAAAAAATTAAACGTAATGGTTAAATAATAAATGTAATCAGAAAGATTTTCTTTTTTAACCGGTGACTGGTATTAAATTGTAGTTTAAACTTGGTAAAGTTGTGCAAATACAAATACGTACTTAATAAAAATGTGTTGTATTTTTGTTTTTAAATACACAATTTGTAATTAAGTTGAGACGTTAAGACTAATTGTCAGACTTAAGAGTTATTACAGCTGAAAGAACAGGATCGTATTTGTGACGTCCAACTTTGCGCCTTACTTTTTCTTCGATATGACGGTCTTAATCTCCAGAAGTGCAAACTTTTGGCCAATGGCTTTGCCATTGGGGCTCTGCACTAAAAGGTAAATACTCGAAAGAACTCTGATTTTCCTCCTCGAATCGCTCCGGTCGAAAATGATGGAGATCCTTGAAGATGCGATCATTGTAACCCAGCATGACGAGTTCCAAAATTAGGGTGGTGCCCTTGGGCACTATACTTTCATCTAAATACGGTTAGCATTAAATAAAAATTATACTTTTTATACCCTTGCAGAGCAAAGGGTATTATAATTTCAGTCAGAAGTTTGCAACGCAGTGAAGGAGACACCTTAGACCCTATAAAGTATATATATTCTTGATCAGCATCACGATCTGAATCGAAATCCGTGTGTAAGTACGTCTGTCCGTCTGTCCGTCTGTCTGTTTCTATGTAAACTAGTCTCTCAGTTTTGAAGCTATCTTGCTGAAACTTTCCCAAAAGTTGTGTAGTTATTGCACGCAGTTTATAATTCGGAACGAGCCGGATCGGCCGACTATATCGGATAGCTCCCATACGAGAGATTGAAAAAAAAATCTCACTCCGTTGTTTTTGATCAGATCGAGTTGATTTCTTCCAGGTGGCGTTTTATAACTACTATTGAATTTCGGTTTAAATTTTATCGAAATCGGATAACTCTATCATATCTGCTCATATCATCGCCCATTATTTGTTTTTGTTTCTGATGCAGTTTTAGCTGGAGTTTAAGTTTAAATCTGTTCAGAAAGAAACTTTGTAACGAACTCTTTAAATTACCTGGACATTGTGCTGTCGAGAGAGGAGGTATACCGAAAAGTACACCCCGTTGTTGTCGAGTCATGTCCTTCGAACATGAAAGTTGACACCTCCTCGTAGATTTCTTGCCTTGTTAGTGGACGACCATCGATTGTGGAGGAAAGAAGCGTGTCCAAAAAGGCCATCTTTTTTCTGGGCGAGTAAACTTTTTGTTCGTTCTTAGAATTTGCAGAACCTCTATTCTCTTTTCTATCATGTTACTGGCAAAACCCTGCAGCGTCTTCAATGTTGTTTGGAAGGTAGCAAACTCAGGGATAAAACTGAAAAACCGTTTTGATTTCTTAAAAATTTGAAAGGCTCACATGTTGATATTATGGCACATATTAAAATTAGAATATTTCCATTAAATCTGTAATATAGGAAGTATTAGCTTTCTGACTCACTATGTAGTGGCATGAGCAATGGAGGAATCCCGCTGCTCGATGCCATTGATTGGTACTCCCATTGCGGTATCACAAATTGCATCCAAGGTGAGGTAATTGGCATGATCTTGCATATCAATGATTGTATCTCCAGCACTCGCCTCTTTCAGCTGGGCCATAAACTTGGCAGAGATTTCACCTCATGGAAGTCCTGCAGGACGTTGAAATGGAAGGATGGAATGCTCATCTTCGGTGTTTCTGCCATTTTCTGTCATAACTCGTTAGATCACTAAAATCCAGCCATGGGTGCAATAAATCGTAGATATAGGACTTTTGAAGTAACTGCTGGCTGTTGAGAATATACTGATAATAAAAAGGAATCAGTTATTATTAAATTTTTGTATCAATTAAGTTTAATATTCCATTAAGTTAAAATTCCTCAATGTTGTTTATCTCTAAAAAAAACTTACCTCTAGTTCTTTGGAATTGGTTACCACAATGTGACTCCTGTATCCTATCCAGAAAAGAAAGTTTTATTTTTCGTAGTTGTGACACCACTCAAAAAGCTTTGCCAAATAAAGTTTTAAAAAATATAAAACTGATTTAATATATTTTACATAATATAGAGTTTTTCCCGCTTACTCAATTTTGTATATACTGTTAAGAGAATTGCAAAATTGACCATGTCGAACTCACCTTCGAGTTTTGCTCTTTATTTACTTGACTTTGTGCTTGTTTATTTATCTTTCAGACCGACGACAGACAGACTGGCTGAATCGGTAATCTCGTTTGGGCGAGGGGCTCGTCCGCTGCTAGAAGTCCGGCTAAATGATCCATCACATGCCAGGCCTCTAAAAATTATCATTAGCAATTACGTTTTTTTGTGGGCGTAGGGGCAGTGAATCATCGCAGATCTGAGCTTGACAGGCCTAAATGGAGATAAGCCAGACCCAAACTAATGGTTAAAGTCAGAGGCTGGCAACAAAAGAGTTATAACTCTTATAAACAAAACAATGAAGCTGCCAGCCGCTTTCCCAACCATCGATGTGGGCATCTGTTTTCGGAGAGGCGGCTTAATAAAGCATATAATATGAGAATTAATCAAAGACCACGCGTTGACTTTTCGCCTGCGTGAAAGCGAGCGATGGGATCGTGACACGAATCCTCAGAGAGAAAACAAAAAAAATACTATAACGATAGAAAGTGTTTCATGGGGAGTTGGACTCATGACAGTCGGAAAAATTACCCCCAAATCGACCCACACAGAAACATTTGCCATTTCACGATTACATCTCCCTGGGCCGGCAATAAATCAAATTGGCAAACGAAAGGAAAAACAGAGAGAAAAGTTTTGCACACTGTGAATGGCTTTTATGGCATTTGTTTGGGGGCCAGTAATTCGCTTGACATCTCAATGCTGCCAGTGCTGCGGCAGCTTAATGCTTAATGCCCAAACTTATAACGGGCGAAAATTTTAATGAATGACGTCGTCATCATCAGCAGCTGAAGCGAAGAGTGGCAAGGACGCCATCCCCCTTCGAACGTCCTGCAAACCTCCACCCGCCCCTTTTCAAGGACATGTTTGGGCGAACAATTTCAATGAACTTTGATAAATCGCCGAGAGGCGAAGGACGACGACGAGTCCGTATTCCGTATTCCATATACGATATCCTCGGTATATAATACACAGCCGGGCATTCTGCTCGACTGGGCTTCCTATTTCCGGTTCCCATTTGGCCGCTATATTTGGGCACCCGCCGCCGAATGCTCAGTGATTATGTAAATTGTTCTGCCCATTTGTAGCAGCTTCCTCTCCCGATGGTTTTTATGTTTATTTTTATTCATCGATTGCATCTATTAAAAGAATACTCCGCGCAATGCCAGCAGTTTCTTTTTTTTTCGTTTGGGGTCTTTTAACGACAAAAGAACCCCATGCGGAAAACGATTAGAATCTCCGGTTCGCCTTAAAGTATGCCATCAATTTGCCGCCCCCGACAATCGCTTCCTTAAATATTAGCCGAGTAAAGCAAACTCTCATCCGGAGAGCCATTTCGGTTAATTATTTCTCGGCTTATCAAGTGGGAATCACACATGTCGTATACGCAATTAGCAGGCCTCCAGCGAAATCGCTGTCTTTAAACGAACAACATTTCCCCAAACTCGCTGCCTCATTATCCCACTTCTCCGCATGTCGGTTGTTGTTATTGCCGTTGTCTTGTTTAATGCATTTTTGCCTTCATGCGGCGCAGAGGAAGTAAATATTGCGCATACGCCACGTTGTGAGCACGCAATGCTGCATAGCATGTTTGGCACGTTCGAAGCCGGAGAGAAATGGCTGGATATGAAGAGCAATTGCCACAGTGGTAGATTTCAGTGTTTTATTTGGTTAACAAATGTGTTTATATGCAAATACGCTTGTCGTATTATGTATGCCTTAGCAAATAACAAACTACACTAATAAGTTTTCTGGTTTTATATTTGTTAATTTGGTTGCTGAACAAAATATTTAATATATACTTATATAATAATACTTCAAATTACTTATTCATTTTAAAGATTTTATAAATATTTTAAATTGTTAAAAATTAATTAATATATAATACAAAATTCAAGTTTTAAAACAACTTGGATAAAGCATTTCCTTTCAAGTTAAGCTTATTTTCAACCGGATTTAAACATCTTCAAGCTTCCCACCGTACTTGGCCAACTTAAAGAAGCCGCATTTACTGGCCACTTAAGGAAGAGAACTCCCATGTGGCCAGCCCCTCGCCCGTGTCCGCCCCTTTTGGGGATTCGCAAAAACTATGCAAAAGCTGAGCAGCCCCCGCATCCCCCTTATCAGGCCATAAAAAGCTGTATAGAATGTTGCAATCAGTTAATTTAAGTGCAGGCCAAGCCAACACGAACAAAGCAGCAAAAAAAAAAAAGAAAAATGGAAATTTCAAATGCGAAAACATACAAACGTGTGTATTTGCCTGAGTGTGAGTGTTCTGCTATTGTGTGTGCGGGTGAGTGTGTGTGTGTGTCTAAACAAACACGCACAGTGTGCCACGCACAGTGGGTCAAGTTCCATTTCGAGTGGATTCATCCCCGAAACGGTATGAATTCGCATTGGACTGGGAATCAGGAAAAGTTTGGGGAAAATCGGGTGGGGAGGGAAGGTAGCTAAATTTTTCTCGACCCGAGGCACACACTCACACACACAGCGACACACACACACACGAAAGCGCACAGCAAAGCACAAGTGGCTACTAATGCAAATAATTTACAAGTAGCAAATGTGGGCGGCAAAACGCCAGCAGCAGATTCAGCAGCAGCAGCAGCCAACGTCAGCAGAGAGACACAGAAAGGACAAAACAAAAATGGGGAAAGCGAAAAAATAAAGGAAAACACACACAAAATAAACGACAGACGACGAGGCAAAATGTCGTCAACAAAAAGAAATATAACAAGAAAGGAAGGCTAGCTTGAGGGACCAGGGCTTAGAATACCCTTAAAAGTCTAGGATTTCTATAGCATCTACAAAACATATACACTACACAAACTGTTTTGGTTGTCTCTTAGATAAAGATATATAAGAATGGCTTTATTATAAATCCTAACCAATCTTTCTACAGGATTTAAAGTTCATTGTGTTGTTCCTGGCCTGAATTTTTAAGTCATAATATGCTTTGCTAATAGTGTATACTGGTTTAAAAATAAAATGAAAATAAATTAAAATAAATGAAAATTATTGCCCTATCTTATCTGTTGTTAAGGATTTTTATACTTTTTGAAACATAATTTTCAAACATAAAAACTTGAAAGATAATAAGACTTAAAAGCTTATTAAAACTAATTAAATTTTTTCTTATTTCAATATTTTTATTTATCTAGATATACGCCAACACATGCAGCTCTCTTTATAAGCTTGTGTGCGTGTAAAAAATACCCTTTGCAAGAGTATGCCGCAGTAGTAACAAAAGGCAAAGGACACTGGCGAGGGGAAAGGGGAAGGAACTCGGGGGCAAAGAGGAAAGTAAGGAAGGAAGAGCAAAGCTTGGGGCACCAAGGAGCAAACAGGACGAGAGGGCGGAGAACGGAAGAGAGGGGCGAGTAAAAAGGACATTATGCGTCTTTTCACATTTGAGAAAAGGACAAATTTGTAAGGACAAGTGTAAGTGAAGGAAACCGAAACAAACACACAGGCACACGCACACTCGCAAATACCGATACTCACACATACACACACACTTATACATAGACTCACACACACAGCGACGACGAATGCCGCAAATGTTTGTGGCCCCGCCCATTCCGCCCACTTTTTGAGGCTGTTGAGAGAAAATCAATGCCAGACCATGAATCAAGATCAGGTTTTCAGAACGAATTAGGAGGCCTTTTTGATGGCATCACCACATTAAAAGCGTTATTTGTTGCAGTTCCACATTGAGCATTTGCTATCAAAGACTTTCAGCGGAATTTCGATCATGATAGTAAGAGGATTTATCTTGAAAATAAGAGCTACGTTAAAGGGTTGCCCAAAGAAAAACTAAAAACAAAAATGTAATGGAAAGGATTTTGTGTATGGGTTCTTTACAGAATTTAAGAATAGCAAGGCAAAATTTTATGCCAAAAATTTAAATGCAAAAACCTGAAGGCTTGCATTGAATAATTTCGTTGTTAGAATTCAGAAGAAAAATCGTTTTGTTTCTTTTATCACTCAATTATTCAAACAATTAAAACAACAGCGAAGCGTTTATTCTTTAGAAATTATCATTTTATTAAAGCACCGAATGCAATCAATTAAAAATTAAATTGAAATTTATGAGCGTACTTGTATTTCGTAATTACGTTTTTATGCAATATAAATTATTTGGAAATAAGTTTCATAAGCACCTTGTCAACTAGCTATTATTAAGATTGACATCGCAATCGTCGTGTTGCTCTTAGTAATAACATGTTTTCATCGGGATTTATATTAAGTAGCTATTTATAAACAACGTGACATTTTCCCAATTGCGTTGCCAGTTTCTTGCACAATCTGCACAAACACTAAAAGTATGGAACATTCTTCGAAGGGCAAAAAAAAAAGAAACAAGAAAAAGAAAACTGGAGAACCGGAAAAGTAGAAAGTGCTTTAATTTTTGGCTGACTGACTTTTCACAACTTTCGCGGTAAATGGGTGTCAGGCCAAAGGGGGAGGGGGTTCATGGCAGCCCAGGGGCGGGGTAAATTCCGGTCGGGGATTGAGGGGGGTTCAGCGGGGGGCGGAGGGGGTGGAGGGGTCAGGTCGACCGGGAATGAGGTGGCACAGTCGCTGGCGTTGGCGCGTGGAGGTAATTGAAGTGACGTTTATGAATGTCATCCGTCAAGCACTCAAGGACATTTACATACAAACACGCACACATGGACAGCCTGCCACACACTCACGCACACCCACACATGCAAAGAAAAGGACAGGGACGCAGAGGGACACGCGTGGGGCGCTCGGTTGCCTGACAGATGCGAGCTTACACAGATTTTTTTTGTGTCTTCATACCCAGTACCTTTTAAAGTTCAATGGTATGTTATATCCATTTGTTGTTTATTTGATTAAATAAAATAAAACTTTTCTATATTTTGCGAAAGTAAATATAACTTACGCCTCCTTTGATTAGTAATTATTATAATTATTATTCTAAATAAATATATTAACACCAGTTG